GAAGCAAGGCAGGGCACAGTAACCACCTGCATGGTTCCTAAGTAGGGCAGTTGGTTTGGGATCTGCTTGGAGGTGGCCATGGTTTGCATTTCTTTCAGGTAAAAAAGGGAGAAAAAAATAGCTAGAAATGGCACATGGGAAATCTGCCCAGACTGGTATTCCAGGCTGATGCTCTGACCCAGAGGCATGGGATGTCCACAGCCTGGACTGGGGAGATGTCCTCTTGGCCGTTCCTCCTTCTATGGATGTGGGCCAAACTCAGTGACCTTTTTCAGCAGCATTTGGGAGAAGCACAAGGCAGCAAATAGACCTAGGCACCATAGGGAGAACAGCCAGGCTGGCATTTGGAATTGGCAAAGTTGGGGTATTCACAGGAAAGAAGCTTCCAGGGTGCTGGACAGGGACAGGGTCTGGCTGGGGAGGACAGTGTTTGGGTGAAGAGTGGGGAGATAAGGAGCACCAGGCTGAGGATATGTCTTAAGGAGCAGAGATTTCCTGTGTCTGAGAGAGTGGGGGCTGCTTTTACTAATGAAGAATTAAAAGAACATCTAAATCCAAAATAAATGTTTTGGCAAAGTGTCTGCACTAGGATTGCCATTGGTGTAAAAAGTGAGGTGGGAAGCAGCCATAGCTTCTAAATATTTGTATTTCATTGAAGCCAATAATAAGAAAACTGAATCAAGGCTATTCTGTATCAGTACCTACCTGTTTATTTGTTTAAAAGCACCTGAAAAGTTCAAGTAACTTCAGTTCAAGTTTTTGGGTTTTTGGGGTTTTTTTTAATATTTCTTAGAAAATAAGACATTCTTGAATTCAGGCTTTACTACAAAGAGGCAGCAAATCTCTCTTTTGCTATTAAGTAGATTATTAAAGGAAAATAAATAGTTCCTCTGTAATAAAAAATAAATGAGCTGTGAGCCCCAACTGGCAGTAGCTGATGGGAAGAGCATGGCCAACATAAAAGGGACACCTCAAGGGACTGGCCACTACATGAACAATCTTTACTAAAAACATACAGCCCAAGCCCCAGGTTGTTAATAAAGTCCCAAAATAAGCTTAAAAGTGCTTAAATACCAACAGCAACAAGATATTTTTTAAAAAGAGAAGTTGCTTCCAGCTGTCTTGCTCCATAATAAGGAAGGGTTGTCTTCAAACTAGTAACAGGCATGGACTTTTCAGAAAGAAATGTTTAAAAAAAACCCTCAAAAGTGTGTAAGATCTGTCACTTCTTTTCATGTTCTCTCTTTCTTTCCCACCCTTATTTCTTCCAGGGAGACAAGAGTTGGTTATTTCACCAAATTTGGGGATTAAGGACTAAAAATGTGTTGGTTCTACATGCCTTGGAGCAATGACTCAGCTAATACAAACAAAGCAGTTAATCATTTACCAGGTGACCAAAAGATCCCTCACATGTGCTGGAGTGACAGAACCTTCAACTTCATCCCATTGTTATCCAAAGAAATAACTCCAAAGCAGTCTGTGATTTGTCCTGCAACTGGACATGCAATATCCCCTCGAATCCCAGGGCTCCTTCCCCTCCCAGCAGCCCCACAGCAGATTATGGTGCTCCCCTCAAATGTTTTTAGGACACCTCTACAAAGGTCTGCGCTGTGCAACACAAGATAGCAACAAGTGCCATGCCTTTCACATAGTTGCTTACCACCATAAAGACATCAGGCTAGTTAAAAATGCCCGGAAAAAGGATATTTTTGCTGCCCATCAGTGTATAAGTATTCCAAGAAAGAAATCTTCAGCCTTGGAAACCTTTGCTAAGTCACTCTTTTCTAGCAAGAGAACAGAAACACAGCTCAGGGGCCAAAGTGTTGCAAAAAAATAAATAATCTGCAGTCCCCCACTCCCAGCAGGCTCATCACATTGGCATCTGCAAAAAACAGGCAGAGAAATGTGCAGGGAGCAAGGGCACACTCCAACCTGCCCATACACGTGAATATTCATGGTTTTAAGGGCTCTGTGGTATACCTGAGGTATTAAAAGCCAGTATATAAAATTTAATGTTGGCCTAACCAGCCCGTTTCACTTTCTGAAGGTATTTAGATGACCTTTGTAAACAAGCAAACTATGGCCACTTCAGTTGGTGAGTATCCAAGACAGGATGTAAATCCTGACAAGCAACCCTGGCAGCTGGACACAACAAACCGCCACTTTTATTGCCTAAGTCAGAAAAATCCTGCAATTAAACCATGGCAGAATTTCAAAAGCAATACCAATACTTAAGCAAAGAGGAAGGCACTGAGAATGCTTATCCCTGTTAGCCCAATTTCAGTTGTTCCTTGCTACTTGAGAGGGGTTGTCTCCACAACTCAGTAGGGATAGGATCAGTAGGGATAGGGAAGTTCAGATTCAGAGCCTGCAACCAAATACTACAGGCTACATCCCAAGTCTTTTATTACTTGTGCTCACCTCAGCTCATCTGTCAGCTCCAAAACCTTGTGGGTAACAGTATGAAGAAAAAAATGGCTCCTTGTGGAAGTTAACTTGGGAGTCTCAGTGTGCAAGGACCAAGCATCCCTTGTACAATCATAAATTCCTTGAATACAGAAAGCAAATACAGACAAGGTTTTCCTACCAGTAGCCCCCACATGACCCAAAATGACTTGAATTAAGGTTTAATTCAGCTGAGGCTGCAAAACCAAGAGGTGAGGACAATCTGCTGCTCATTCCAATGTGCTTAATCTGCTAAACCTGCTGCATCCTTTCTGGATAAGAAGTGCTGGTTCCAGCCACAGCATGATTTCCAGTATGTGACCTATCAGAGCTATTCTTCACTCTGCTTTTTCCCTGGCAGACACAGTGAATTTGCCCAGCATCCAAAGGGCCATGCAGGCTGTGGGGTATCATCTGAAGGATCAGGGCTTGAACCTGCTCATCAACAACGCAGGCATCAGCTCCCACGCCACACTGTGCTCCCTGGACTCGCAGGAGATGCTCGACGTGTTTGCCACCAATGTGGTTGGGCCACTCCAGGTTGTCAAGGTATCTCTGGACGTTTTGTGTTTCTGCTGCTTGGGAAGATGTTCCCTGATGGGAATAAGGGCACCTCCATGGATCTCCCCTGCCTACCCAGAGAAGCTCAGCAGCTTAGCCCAGCCCAGCATCCCCTGTGCTTAGTTCTTCCCCACCTGGAGCGGCTGCCTGCACCAGGCTCACTGTGCCAGCTCACTCCTTTCCTGGGGATGGGACAGGCTGGAGCCTGCAGGGCCCCTCCTTGGAGCATCTTCCCCATCCCCTGCACTTCTGCCAGGAGTGTCTGTCCAGCTGCTTGTCTACAGTCTGTGACAGAGCCCTCCAGGATGGTCCCCAAATTGGGGCTCTGTTGCATGTTAATGAAGCATTGGTGTCTTTGCATCAGGAATTTCTGCCACTCCTGGAGCAGGCGGCGAAGGGTGCGGGAAAGGAGGGTGTGAGCTGCAGCAGGGCTGCTGTCATCAACATCTCCTCCAAACTGGGCTCCATCGGGCTGTGCCTCCACGTGCCAGAGGCCCCCATGTACCCGTACCGGGCCAGCAAGGTGAGGTGCCAGGGGAGGTGCTGGAGATGCTGCCCCAGGCACGGTGGCCATGGAGGGGAGGGAGCCCATGGGTCACCCCTTGGCCCAGCCACCCACCCCCTGCCTGCTTCTCCCAGGTGGAAGTGCAGACAGCACTTCTGGGACAGCAGCAGCCAAGACTGAGCCTTTCCAGCAGGTCATGCTTTGTCGCAGGACCAAGTCCCATTTCCCACCTCCACAGATATTTTGTGGCTATGAAATGTCTCCTGTCCTGCCTACCCCCTCCCTGGGTTGTGCTGGCAGGGCTGTGCCTCTTCCAGGCTGCCCAGAACATGGTGACGAGGTGTCTGGCTGTGGAACTCCAGGACAAGGGGATCTTGTGCGTGGCCATCCATCCTGGCTGGGTGAAGACTGACATGGGCACAGAGGAGGTACTGGGCTGTGCAGGGGAGGGTCAGCAGGACCTCCACTGAATCCCCATGTCTTGGGGAGGGCAGGGGCACTTGGGGGATTTTGTGTGATGCTGTGGGCTGCCAGGACCATCTTCTGGAGCAGAGCAGGCAGGGAGCAGGTAGCAAGCTGCAACATACTGAGTAGGTAGGATAGCCAGCCCTGTCTCCCCAAGCCAGCCTGGAGAGGTGTGGCAATAAGGAAAAAATATTCCCATGAGCACCATGGATGCTGCTCCTGGGCATCCACCCTCCCCAAGAACTGCTCTCTGTCCTTTTCTACAGGCACCACTGACAGTGGAGCACAGCGTGAGGGGCATCCTGACTGTGCTGGCCAGCCTCTCACAGGACACCTCTGGAGCATTCCTCGACTGGGAAGGGAACAGCCTGCCCTGGTGATGGACAAATGGATGGTGCCTCTTGCCCATGCTGCAGCCTCTGCTCACTGGCTCATCAGTCTGCATGGTCACCCCTGCTCACCCTCAGCCCTCTCCACACTGCTGGGGAGAGGAATTAGGCTTTGGAAACAGCCTCTTTCTCCTTTCCCACACCATGTGTTCCCTCTGTACCCCTCACCTGTGTAAACTCTGGCAGCTGATGCCTCTCTGTTCTGTCTCCACACCCAGTCTCAAACCCCCAGTGTGAGCCCGGGGCAGGATCCCTGTGCTCTCCCCGAGCTCTGTGTGTCCCTCTGTCCCACCTGTGACCAGGCATCCCCCAGCTGAGGGGAGAGGGCCGCTGGTCCCTGTGACCCCCAGCCCCTCAGGCAGCTCAGCCTGGGCAGGGGAAAGCCGGTCCTGCAGGGGCTCAGATCTCTCCCCTCTGAGCAGAGGGGCCTGCTCCAGCTTCTCCAGTGCCTCCTGGAGGGGAGGTCTCCAGAGGGCAGTCACGGTGCCATGGGACCTGCTGGCTGTCACTCATGGGGATGCCAGTGACAGCCATGGGTTGGGGCCGCTGTGGGCACCACCAATCCCCAGTGGAACAGTGGGATATCTGGAAAGGGCCACCCCATGAGCTGGCACTGCACAACAGAGCTGGGGGTCTCAGCAGGAGTTTATTGAGGATGTGGGGAGGTGGGAGCAGTGCCAAAGGGACCTCTTGGCTGCCAGGATCCTGATGTGATGCCTCACCAGGGCACGACCTTCCCTTCCCAGTCCAGGAAGGCGCCGGTGTCCTTCTCAGAGAGGGAGGAGAGGACCTTCAGCATCCCTTGCACGCTGTCATCCACTGTCACAGGGGGCTGTGGAGCAGAGGGGGAGATGCAGCCCATGCCCAAGGCCTGGCTGAGGGCCCTGGAGCAGCTGGAGCCAGGGGAAAGAACTTCTCCAGGGCAAAGGGAAAGCTGAAAACCCCAGTGGGAGGGACTGAGACGAGAACTGAGGGGATGGGGACACCCAGCACCCAGGACCAGGACAGGGGGAGCTGCCCCAGCAGGGATTGGGCAGGCAGGGAAGTCATGAGCAGGGGCTCAGGATAGCAACTCCCACCCTTGCAAGGGGAATTCCTACCGTGTGTCCGGCAGAGCTGCCCATGTCAGTTTGCACCCAGCCGGGGTGGAGAGCGACGCAGAGGATGCCGTGCTCCTTGTATGCCAGGGACTGGCACTTGCTCAGCATGTTCAGAGCAGCCTGTGGGGAGACAACACAGGGACAGTGGTGGGAGGGGAAGGGGGGCTGCAAGGGGACCCGCAGGTGGGCAGGGCAGGGGAAGTGAATTTGTTCCCAGCACGTGTGACAGCACCTTGCTGCAGCGGTACGAGGCAACTGGCATCATCTCCCAACCAAAGCAAGAAGTGATGGAGCCGCCAATGCTGGACATGTTGACGATGGCAGCCTTGCTGCAGCTTAGCCCTGAGCCTGGGCTCCCCTGGGCAGCCTTCTTCAGCAAGGGCAGAAACGCCTGCGAGGAGACGGAGGGGACAGAAGCACACATGGACATGGCACAGGGCAGGGGAGAAGCTCCTTCCACAGTGGGCAACATTGACACCAGCACTGGGGCAATCCTCCCTCCTCTTCCCTGCCAGGCTCCAGCCCATGGCTCCATGAGCTTCTCATTAACTGAGAGTCCATTGGTAACCAGAGTGGAGGCAGGATCCCCTCCCAGCCCTTCATGCTTCCCCAGGACAGCCCAACTTGGGTGAGGGTCTCACCTGGCCCATCAGCAGGGGGCCAACTGTGTTGGTGGTGTAAATCTCTCTCATGTCCTCTGATGTCTCGGTATCAAGTGTGTTCAACTTCAAAATTCCAGCATTGTTGATGAGGAGGTTGAGCCCAGAGCCCCCCAGGTGCTCCCCAACCTTGGCTGCAGCTGCCTTGATGCTGGCGGGGTCGGCGACTTCTGCAGAGCCAGCACAGGGGAGGTCAGAGCCTGTGTCCCCATGGTGGAGTCCCCTCTGTTCCCCCAGAGGTGGCAGTGCCCGATGGCCCTGCAGGCACCAGCCCACTGGCACAGCTCCCTCCCAGCACGGGGCTCCCAGGGTGTGCCCAGCCTGGGCACTCGCCAGAGGAACTGGGGCAAAGGACCCGCGCCTCGGGGCACCTACCGAGCGGGATGATGATGATGTTGGGGTGCTTGGAGGCCAAATTCTGTAACTCCTGAAAGAGAGGGCACAGTGTAGGCATGGAGAGGCTTGCAGGGGCTGTGCAGAGGCTCAGCCTTTCCCAGACAAAGCCCATGCCACTCCATCTCTGTCCCTGCATCACTGTGTCCAACACCAGCTCCAGCTGACACATCAGTGGGGCTCTGTGCCTTCTATACATGCCTTGTGCCATTCTCCCCTCCATGTATCCCAAGCACAACTGGTCTATGGTGTCCCAAGCCAGCTGACCTGTGCTGCGGGTGCTTGACTGCAGCTCCAGCCCCTTGCAAACACCGTTCCTGATCCAGTTTCCCTCTTCCCAGTCTCACCTGTGCTCGCTGTCCCTTGGGGTCCCGACAGCCTGCAAAGATCCACTGTGGTGAGCTTGGCATCCTCAGGAAATGCTGGATGAGCCCCAGGCCGATGCCTCGGTTTGCCCCAGTCACCAGAACAGAGCGGACGTGGAGCCCTGCCATGCTGCCCTGGCTGTGGCTGCAATGCTCTCGCCTGGACTCTGCCAGTGCCTTTTGCTACTTGGTTATCTCGCATGTTCCCATGAGGACTTGCATCAGCTCGTGGCTCTTGGAAATTCTCTGCCTGTACCTCAATCTCTTGGCTCTGGTCCATACCCATGATCCACTTTTCCTGCTGGCTGTGGAATGACACAAAGGGAGCCAAGTGTCCTGCCCAGGCAGGGAATGCCCTGGGCTAGGTGTCAGGAGTGCTGCTTTATGTACCTTCCCTGCTCTACCAAACCTGAACCTTTTGGTTTTCAGGGCCAGCACTATCCATGTCCTTGCAGTGCGACACCCTCTCCCACCACCTCCCTCCCTCTTGGGTTCCCAGGCCTGTCCCTCCCCTTGCCCAAGGTCAGGCAGGCGAGGCTGAACTCGCCTGACTCTGCACAGTGCAGTTTGTTGCCCTTAGTTCGTGCAATGCCAAAGCCAGGGTTGGGGATGGAGCAATCAGGACAGGTGAATGCCCCTTGAGGACTTGAGGATGGAACAGCCAGGACAGACAAGCATTCCTTAGCCACAAGAACAGGCTGAGAAACCTAGAAACCCTCCAGGACCACTGGGAAAAACCCTCCAGGGCTGACCAGAGTGACCCCTTTCCTCAGAGTCTGCTCTAACAGCACCTATAATATTTAAGTGTGATAGAAGGATAATCCCTGTCCCATTTGCCACAGTGGAATATACACATTTAAGATAATTCAGAGATGTTGTGTAGGTAGTTTAAAGTAATTAATAACCACTTATATGGGATGTGATTGAGCAGGACTAGGAGGCATAAGATTGTGGAACTTCTGCTCCAGCTGGAGATGCTGCTCCAACTTTGCTTTGCAACTGGACAATGATGAGCTGTCATGTTCAGGAGATCTGATCCTCCATCCAAATGCAACCTTTCCAAATAAATCAGCTTTTGTCCATAAGAGCAAACCCTGCTGCCTACTCTTCTGTGTGTGTGGTGAGTTGACCCTGGCTGGATGCCTGGCATCCACCAAAGCCACTCTATCACTTTCCTCTGCAACTGGACTGGCAGAGGAAAAATGTAACAAAGGTTCATGAGTTGAGATAAGGTCCAGGAGAGATCACTTAATAAATACCATCACAGGCAAAACAGACTCAAACTGGGGATGTTAACTGAATTTCTTACTAACAAAATCAGAGCAGGATAATGAGAAGTAAGATAAATCTTAAAAATACCTTCCCTCCACCGCTCCCTTCCTCCCAGCTCTACCTCCCCCTGCCCAGTAGTGCAGGGAGGCAGGGAATGGGGGCTGTGGTCACTTCATCACATGTGTTCCCTGCTGCTACTCAGGGAGAAGAGCTGGAGTCCTTCCCCTGCTCCAGCGTGGGGTCCCTTCCATGGGAGACACTTCTCCATGAACTTCTCCAACGAGAGTTCTGGGCAACAGTTCTCCACAGTCTGCTGCAACATGGATCACTCTTCCCTGGGATGCAGTCATTCAGGCACAGGCATGGCTGCACCCTGGGCTGCAAGAGAATCTCAGCTCCAGTGCCTGGAGCACCTCCTCCCCCTCCTTCTGCACTGACCTTGGTGTCTGCAGAGCTACTCCCCTCACGTATTCTCACTCTACTCTTCTCTGGCTGCAATTACATCTGCACAATAACTTTTTTATTTTCTTCTTAAATATGTTATCACAGAAGCGTTACTACCGTGGCTGAAGGGTTTGGCCTTGGCCAGCAACTCGTCTGTCCTGGAGCAGTCTGCCACTGGCTCTGCTGGATGTGGAGGAGGTTCCCGGCAGCTTCCCACAGAAGCTACCCCTGAAGCCCACCCCCTCCCCGCCACGAAAGCCTGGCCATGCGAACCAAATACAGGGTGACAATTATACCCATCTGGTCGTGCCATTTCACTGCCCTCAGTGTCAGCCACTGATGGAACCACAGCCTCTGGCACGGCGATGAAAGGCACTGACTGCCCCAAGTCACAACTGAACTGGATGAGGGGATAGATTTGCCATCCCTTCAGCCAGAACATTTCCCAGATTGCTTGACAGATTTGACCAAATGGCTTTAATACCTTAAGATGAGACAAAGGATGGGCAAGGCTGTTGTGGCAGGATGCTTCTTCCCATCTGCAACCATCTGGGGAAACCTGGGGATTAGCTGGAGCCAAAACTAAAAGAAAGAACACAAAACCAAGGCAGAGTTCCAGGGATGGTTTGGCATCACATGTGGACGACTGAATGGGAAATTGCACTGACTGGGGTTGGAAGGGACCTGTTGTCCCAACACGGCGCAGGGCAGGGTCAGCTTCCCTCAGGCTCAGAGCCCATCCAACCTGGCCCTGAACACTTCCAGGGATGGGGCAGCCTCAGCTTCTCTGGGCAACCTGTGCCGTGACTCACCCCTCATATCTAATTCCCTCCTCATATCTAATCTAAACCTGCTTTTTTTTTTTCAGTTTGAAGCCATTCCCCCTTACGCCATCACCCCACGGGGATGTCCAAAGTCCCTCCCCAGCTCTCTTGTACTTTATGTACTGGAAACGGCTCCAACATCCTCCCCCAGATCCTTCTCTTCTAGAAGGGGACGCGTGTGCCCGGGAAAGGCACAGGGATAGGGCGGGCCATAAGGATGGGGACTGGGAGTGGGAGGGCCGGGAGCTGGGCCCGCGCCGGCGGTGCCGCCCCGCCCCGGTAGTGGCGCTGCCGGGCGCCGCTTCCTGTTCCGGGCCGCGCGGCCATGGCGGCGGCGGCCGCTGCGCCCGGCGGCTGGCGGCGGGGGAGCGGTGAGGGGGGCCGGGAGGGGGTCAGCCCTGTCAGCCCTGCCTACCCTGAGCCCCCGCCTGGCCCCAACCTCGCCTGGCCCAGTCCCGCCTGCCCTTAGCTGTGCCTCTCCTCATCCCCTGCCTGCCCTCATCCCCTGCCTGTTCTCAGCCCCTGCCTGTCCCCAACCCTTACCTGTCCCAGCCCTGCCTGTCCCCAGTCCTTCTCCCTTTCACAGTTCAGACAATTATAGTTAAGACTTGGTCCCAGGAAAATTGTTATTGGGTGATAATAAACAGTATGGAAAGCGGTAGAAATAAATGTCCTCTCCTGTGTGGGGAGACTTGCAGAAGGCCAGGCACACGCCAGAGCTACGAGTGTCCCCCGCCAGTGTCGCAGCAGGATGCAGCAGGACCTGTGTGCCCCCAGCAGCGTGGCTTCCTCGGCACAAAGCCCTTAGGATGGGTTGCAGAGAAGTGGGTGCACTTGGGTGGTTGTGAGCAATCTCCTGGGTTTGTGGCTGTGCTTGGAGTGCTAAACCCTTCCCAGGGTGATGGAGCACTGCTTGGTGTCTTGTCTCTTCTCATGTAGTCTTGTGTGTGTGGACAAGAATGTGGCTTCTCCCAAACTCTACGTCCTAGAGCCATGGATTGCTGACCTCTTGGTGAATTACGAGCAAGTGGATGAGCGTGAGAATTACCTGGCTGGGCAGGTGGTGCGGGTAGGTACCCAGAGGGACTGTCCCAAAGTGCTCCAACAGCCTTTCAAATCTGAATTCTGGGAAGTGTGCAGTGGCTCCCAGTTTGGTGGCTGTGCATGTGCAGCTCTTCCTCCTCAACATCTCTGATTTATTTATTTTTTTTTTTTTTTTGAGGAGGAAAAGTTTGATGTCGTGACCGCCTTCCTGTGAAACTTGTTCCAGGTCTACGAGTAAGAGTTGTTTTTTTTTTTTTTCTCTTCTCTAATCTCTTGACAGGTCTTGAGTGACTCAGGTGCAGCTGGCCAGCCTGGGCTCCTCCAGGACGCTGTGGTGCAGGTCTCTGACGGATCCTGCTACATCCGTGTGGTCATTACAGCCGAAGCTCTGCAGGCAGAGGAAAAGTGGGTTCCACCCTGACTTGGCGTGGCTGGGACAGCAGTTCTGCACAGCTGCTGGGAGGAGCTGGGGCTCCTGCCTGGTCTTGTTTCAGGTTGTGTTAAGCTAAAGCAACCTCAGGGTGGGAAGTTGGTGTGAAAGAGCTGCTAAGAGAAGAAGGCTGGAATGCCCTTGCTCTGGTGTCTGCTGGTTGGGATGGGCAGGGATCCATGGCAGAAGCTGTGATGCCATTATAAAGGACTGTAGAGCCCTTGGGTTTTGTGGAAGGAGCCAGATCATTAACCATGGCAGCTTGGGTTGCTCCTTCAGTGCTTTCCTCCATTTCCCCATTTGGACACCCTTAAACTGTTGGGGTGCTGGCAGCAGAGAGCCAAGGATAAGCAGCAGAAAGAAGCTGCTCTTAGGCGGGAATTACTAAGGAATTACAAGGAGCCCTTGGTGCCTGCTGCTCATGCTGAGACATGTTCCAGAATGCCCCAGTGTAGTTGGCAGAGCTCTTGCAGGAGCCCCACTGTGTGTCGGGGGGGGTCCAGCTCTGTTCTTCAAGGCACTCCTGCTCTGCTCCTTTTCCAGCGCCCACCTGCAGCTCAGGCTTTCCAGCCTTAATTGCAGAATCATTGTCCTGCAGAAGTACACGGTGTGTTTTCAGGAGGAGGCCAGGCTGGTAAGTGCTCTGAGGAGTGGAAGCAGCCTGTTCCTTTACCTTGCTGTGCTTCCTGCACTCTTGCCTGCTTCCAACTGCTCCCAGGAGCTGAAGGCAGGTGATGGGTGGCCTTTCATTTTCATCTGCAGCTCCTGAGGGGTCTGTGGCAGCTGACCTGGGCAGGGATGAGCCATGGCTGGGGATGGGGTGCATCTTTCCCAGGGTCACCTGGCTGTCACCTCTGCCTGTTGGACAGCTGCAGAAGGCCTGCATGGGCTGGTGGCAGAGCAGTCCTCTGTCCCCTTGCAGCGGTTCAGAGGTGTCCCCACAGACTCCCCTGGGCTGGCCCACCCTGGCAGAGCCATCAGCTGACGCAGGAAGGCACAAACTCCTGTTTGAAGGGGGGTTGTCCTTTTTGAGGGAAACTTCTCTTAGACTGGAGGGTTGGTGGCAGAGCTGGGGTGGGTGTGGGAGTGCTGGCTGGCCCCAGGGAAGGCAGGGGCAGGGGTGGGACTCGGAGGTGCCTTACAGGCTCTGTCCTCCCCACAGGAGGACTGCGAGTTTTACCTCACGGCCCAGCAGTTCATCGTGCTGCCCATGCAGAGGCAGAGGATGGAATCATCTGATGGGTATGGCCCATGGCATGGGGGGGTGGGGGCTGTGCTCAGGGGAATGTCTTCATCTTCCCCACAGCAGCACTGACCCTGGCAGTCCTGATTTGACCTGCTTGTGGCAATCCCTTCCTCAGAAGGGAATCTCTTCTGAAGGGATCCTCAGAAGGGATTGCTTGTGGCAATCCCTTCTGAGGATTTCTCCCTCCAAGGCAAGGGAGAAAGGAGATGGGGATTTGGAGGGAATCAGTAACTGGCTTCTCTCTTGCTGCAGGAACCAGGACCCCTCTGTGATGAAGAAGATAAAGGAGCTCTGGCTGTGAGTATGGGGCTGAGGGATGTATCCAGATACTCTGACATGTGCAGCCTCAGACTGGGGTTAGAGCAGGCCGGCAAGGGCTGGCATGGGTTATGGCAGCTCCTGGTTAACCTGTGTGACTCCTTGCCCTGGAATGTGACAGAGTTGAATAGACTGTGAAAAATGAAATTGTGGTGGCACATTGCCAGCCTCTTCCTCTGAGCTAGGAGGAAACGCCTGTGGGGAGCTTGTTCTTACCAGTGGTGGGCAGCACAGCTGTGTGGGTGAGCCCTGCACAGCTCGTTCTTCATCCTTGGAGATCCAATCCTGGAGATCCTCAGGGCCTTCAATCAGTCCATCTCCAGGGGTGAGCCTTCCTGATGGCTATTCTTGGCATACTGAGCATGTGGTCAGTGGCCAGATCAGCACCCAGTGGGGGATCCACTACTTTCACAAGCTGCTTCTTCCAATCCAGGGTGCTTGATCTGTGACCAAGAGCTGCATATGTCCCAGCCCTAACCTGGCTTTGTCTTCTCCTTGGTCATTACAGGAGGAATCTTGCTGTGAGGAATGCTCCCAGCTCAGGTAAACGGTTGTGGGGGGCGTGCAATGCTCTGACTGCCTGGGGGAGCCCTTGGCTTTCCTCAGCTTGGTCCATGTTAGGCAGAGGTAGCACAAACCTGGTCAGATCTCACAAGCATATGTTGCTAAGCCCAAAGCAGGAAGAGATGATGGTGACAGCTAAAGCAGAGTGGGTCATTAAATGCCTGTGCTCATGCTCCTAGTCCAGGATTTGTGAAGAGAGGAAAGATAGTTTCTAGAAGCAAAGGAAATGTAGAATTGTGGGTGTTCCCACAGGTTTCAGTGTCATGACAGTCACCAAGTCATGCAGCAGTGTAAAAGTGTTTGCAAGTGAGGCTTGCCTGAGTTCAGCTGTCTCCTCCACTGGTGTCTGTGTGTTCTTGCTCTAGAGCCCTCTGTCTCTCAGCTGATTGATGCCATCGGACAGAACCAGCTAGAGATTTTGAAGGAAAATGCTGAGGAATGCTTGGATTTACGGAAATCAAAGGAGAAGCCAGGGACAGTGGAGGACGAGGTTCCCATCACCCAGTGGGAGGCAGAGCGCAAGAAGGAGGTCAGTCTGTCTGCTGGGACCAGCTGAGACAGGGCTGTGACAGCTTGGAGTGCTCTGCTGGGTGGGAGAGGGAAGGGAAGGGAAGGGAAGGGACAGTGGTCAGAGCTGGAGGTTTGATGGGGAGGGAGATGGTGTTGGGTTGGCAGGTATAGGTGGACTCCTGCATCTGGAGAGGGAGTGCCCAGCAAAAACCTTGTCACATGTCTCATTTCAGCAGGGTGAGGACGTTTTCATGGCCCCAGTCAGTGCCCTGGTGATCCCTCCTGAGGAGGAGGCAGTTGTTTGTGACTCTTCCGAGGCAGTGTCTGCAGGGTACACAGGTAGGCAGTGCAGCACTCAGGCATGTGAAATTAGGGACTCCCTAGGGTGGGGTGAAGAGTTCCCTTGCTCTGGGTGTCCCTCATGCTGGGGATACGACCAACAGTGCCCCTTTCATTGCAGATACAAGCCAAGCAGCTCCTGGAAAGAGTAGTGATGACAGGACAGTGCCAGGAGAGCCGAGTGTTGTATCTCAAATCAGCTGTGAGTTGTGGAATCTCCAGATCCTGGAATGATTTGTGTTGGAAGGGACCTTAAAGAATATCTAGACCCAGTCCCTGCCATGAGCAGGGACACATTCCACTAGACCAGGTTGCTCCAAGCCCTGTCCAGCTTAGCCTTGAACACCTTCCAGGGCGGGGGCAGCCACAGCTTCACAGGCAACCTGTGCTAGAGCCTCCCCACCCTCACGGGGAAGAATTTCTTAAAAATATCTAGTCTAACCCTGTCCTCTGTCAGTGTGAAGCCATTCCCCTTTGTCCTGGCACTCCATGGCCTTGTCTGAAGTCCTTCTCCAGCCCTCTTGGAGCTTCTTTAGATACTGGAAGGTTCTTGAAAGTCTCAGAGCTTTCAATTCTCCAAGCTGAATAACCCCAACTCTCTCAGCCTGTCTCCATAGCAGCAGTGCTCCAGCCCTTGGATCGTCCTCATGGCCTCCTATGAATGCTCCAGATCCCATCCAGCCTTTAGTTTCCTCTACAGTTGGCTCAGCCCATCTCCCTGGATTGAGTGGAGGAGGTACTGGTGTGGCCAGGTCTTTGGGAGACCTTGAGCAGGCAGGGGATGGTCCCAGTCCTCAAGGTTCTTGAAGCTGCAGCTTTGGTGTATTGTGCTGGGAGCACAAGAAGTCATTTCGATGCCATCACTGAGCATGAGTCTTCTGCCCTGGTGTGGGCTCCTCGCTGGCTCTGGCTCAGCACCACGACGGGTTTTGTCACCTTACGTGGCTTGGTGTCACCATGCTTTGCTGCAGAATTACCTGTGGAAGCTCCATGTGGAGGAGGAGCTGAAGGGAAGAACTGTCCAGTGTAGCAGGGTGTAGGAGAAGGCCTTCATACCTGCCTGCTCTCTGGGCACTGTCTGCTTCTCCACTGCCTGCTCTGTGAGATCTTGGAAAGGGTCTCACTGGAATATGCCACATTTTGGGCTGGAAAGGGCTGCAGAGCTCCCTCAAGAGCTGTCCCTGAGACCTTGTGCACAGGGGACCCACAGGGAATGGGCAGCTGCTTGCTTTGCCAAAATCTACCCTCCGGCTTCTTCATTGCAGGTGCCGCATCACCGACCTTGTCAGATAGCCTGGAGGGATCCCTGGACAACCCCTGGAACGGGATGCCCTCGTTGTCTTTGACCCCAAGCTCTTCAGATGGTGAGTCCCCATGTCCCAGGGCATCCAGCCTGCCTTCCTGGCAGGAGACAGCTCCACTCTTCTCAGTGGCTGTAGCTCACCCTGGATGCTGGCTGGATTTCCCCTGCCATAAAGCAGTGCTGTGGTGTTCCCATAGCCCTGGACCTGCATCATTCCAGCCCTGACACTCTTCTTGTGTGCCAGGGCAGGTCCCACCACCAGCCAGCCCCCTGCTCAAATTGATGATGCTTTTCCTCTTACTAGAGAAGACCTTTCAACCTGACCCTCACCTGAAGACCCAGAAAGATGTGGCTGCTGACAGCAACACCACTGACCTGTTGGAAGTGTGTAGCCAGAGCTCTCCTGAGGGCTCACCCCAGGGAGGGCCAGCACAGACCTCCTCTCCCTCCCTGCTCCGCTGCTACAGCAATCCCAGTCCAGCAGAGATCAGCACCAGTGAGGCAGCATCAGCTGCAGAGGCAGCCTGGGGTGCCCTGTGTGCTGATCAAAGCCTGCAGCGATCCAGGGGCTCTCAGGCCACCCTGCCCACTCTTTCTCCAGTTTTTCCAGTCTTGCCCAGCAGTAGCTTGCAATCGCCACCTGGCAGGATTCCTCACAGGGAGCAGGCCTGCTCCAGTGGCACGGCTTCCTCTACAGAGGCGTTGAAGCCTGGACTGGCTCATGCCAAGACAAAGGGAGGAGGGACTGTGGGTGCCAAGAGGAAGGTGGTGGAGGAAGATGAGCAGGCCTCCAGTGGGCAGCAGCATCTCCCAGGCACCTCAAAGCACAGGGGGAGAGACAAAGGCAAGAGATCGGTGCTCATGAGCTCACAGGGTGCAAAGAAGAGCAGAAAGGAGACAGGGCTGCAGCGTAGAAAGAAGTTTGAGGAGGAAGAGAAAGAGGAGGAGGAGGAGGAAGAGCAAGCATCCCCTGCAAGAGCTGGGCCCAGCTCCAGACCAGAGCAGTGCAGAGCTCCAGAGCCGGTAAATACCAAGCAGCTGGTGAGGTCCCGTGAGGGCTGGGGGTGCCTGGGGAGGCTCTCTGTGCCCACACCACTGGTGTTCATCCTCAGGATCTTTCCTCACCAGGCTGGTGGGGATGGGAAGGTGAATGCAGGTATCAGTGTAGATGGTGGAGGATCTGGGAACCCTAAGGGAGCCCTGAGGGAATCATGTAATCACTTAGGCTGGAAAAGAGCTCATGAGATGGAATTCTAACCATTCCCCAGCACTGCCAAGCCCACCGCTGAACCGTAGCCCCAGCTGCCATATCCACAGGTCTTTAAATCCCTCCAGGGATGGTGAAGATGTGGTTTAGCCTCAGCTAAACAATTGGGTGGGAACAAACAATTGCTGGAGCATCTTCTGAGCTATCTGGGTAAAAGAAGAGCAAAAGAACAGGAAAGAGACACCACAATCCTAGGTGTTTTCCTGGGGTTATTGGGCTCTCAGGCTGCAAGGGGCAGCACTCTGGGTGCTGTGGCTGGAGCAGACCCATCTCACCCTCCCCTTTGCTTTTGTAGTTCGTGGAGAGACCATCCCAGTACCAGTACGAGGCACCGAGCCCCGAGCTCTGCCAGCAGGTACAATCTATCAGGTCAGTGCCATATCAGCCATGGACTCATGACTGTCCCTTGCTCCTGCAGTGGGACTCACCTATAGTGAGTCCTCAATCTCAGCCCTACCCCTTGTCACCAGCTGCCCCAGGGGTATGTCCACAGCTGGGTTTCTTCTCACGCTGGCTCCTCCTGTCTGGTTTCTCAGGATCTCAAAGGCAATGCTGAAGTGGGCATGCTGGATACTGGCTGAGGAGGAGGACTCCTGAGCCCATCTTTCATTCCTTTGTTTCTTCAATGGGTTTGTGAAAACACTAGGAAGAGTGGTTGGGGGAGGGATGTGGGGATACCAGAAGCTCTGTGCCCCAGGAGACTGCTGAATGGGCTGGGCTGGCCTGGCTGCAGAAACTCTGGTTCCAGGGGTGCTGGCACATGACCTGTTGAAAGCCAATACCCTCAGTGCCAAGAGGGGAGAAAAGCATTCATTCAGGCATGCCTATATGTGAGCCAGCATCCCTCTCCCATCTCTTCATCCTTTTCAAATGCCTTGTCCCAGCAAGTGGGGACAAGAGGTGACCCAGTGCCACCATAGCAGCAATGGCAGAGGCCCCACAAGCTGATCCTGTTCTGAAGGTACCCCAGGAGCTTGGATGGTTTATTGAATAAGTTTGAGTTGGGTCCTGCACTGTTTATTACAAAAAATATCCCGCAGGGTTATGCTGTAGAAATTAAAAATTGTATATTTTTTAAATACACAGCTCTTGTATTAAAAAAAAAAAAAAGAAAAAAAGAAAAAAAAAAACCAAAACAAGCATCTTGCTTTGTCGTAAACATCCGTGTGAGGAATGCGTTTGGTCCGGAGCAGAGGGCAACACAGGAGAAAGCCACGGGGGTGTCAGGATCACGCTGGTGCCTCAGGGAGCTGCGGGGATGGAGCTGCGTGCTGAAAGGCGGTGGGTCGTGTCCCGCTGATGGAAGCCTGTGTCTGGCGGGGGCTGGAGAGAGCAGTACCCCATGGGGTCAGGAGCTGGAGTGGTGGAAGTGCCTTGGGAACGCTTCCTAAAAATAGCTGGCTGCCTAAAATCACCGGCTCCCCCGCTGCAGCCCACAGCGACAGAGGGGCACTGGGGACTGCCACACCACTGGATGCATCCTGCAGGCTCTGACAGTCCCTGGGCATCCTGGGCAATGCTGGTGGCCCGGCTGTCCCTATGGCGAAAATTGGGCGATGCAACCATTGGCACATCCACGCCAGCCTGGTGCCCCGTCTGTCCTCTCTGCACCCCAGCTGCCAACACCCCGGCACGGTGCACTTGCTTGCAGGGTTTTATTGGGAACAGCCTGGTGACATGCAGGGGCTTCACTGTCCCAGGGCCGGCTCCTCCCGGCCTGGCACTGGGCGTCTTTGGTCTACGGCAGCTGAGTCTTGTGCATTCCCAACAGTTTGTGCCAGGGCTTGCGGCTGCTCACCCTCAGTGCCTGTGCCAGCCTGCGGCTCCTCCAGCCCGGCACGGGGCCAGTCCTGCAGTGTGGCACCTACAGAGGTCACAGGTGCTGGTGTAAGCATGGGGGGACCCTTGGTACCCCAACACCTGCTACAGCAAGGAGGGGAACATCTCACCTTCAGCATCCGAGGTTGGTCCAGGCTCACCCTCCATCTCTGAGAGGGACTCGTGCTTGGTCCTGTGCCTGAGCACAGGCGAACGCCGCAGGCGCAGGGGAACGGTGCCCACTGGGGAAAACACAACCCAGCCCCGTGTTAGGGTGGGGCACAGTGGCCTGGCTTCTGCTGGAACTAAGCCCAATATTGGATTCCCCTTGGGACCTTCCCAGTGTGGCTGTGCCATTGTCTATCACCCACAGCTGGGAGAGGCAGCACCAGCACACAAGTGGAACACCACCACCCACCTCTGTTGGTGTTAAGTGCAAGGAGGGCTTTGGGTCCGACTTCACACCCAACATACCTCCCAGCTCTGCCGGGCACTCGGGCTCCCTGAGCTGCTCCTCATGGATGGACAATGCTCGGCGGCCGGTCCCCCGTGGCGCTGCCAGCCGTGCCATCAGCCGGTTGTCTGTGTAAGCAATGGGGAGGTGCCATTGGAGGACAGCCCACAGCACCCCACTTGGCAGGCCCCAGCAGCACCCAGCACCCACTGCATGCTTGGCTTCCTGCTGCCCTCCATCCCAAGGGCTCCAAGAACAGGCCAGCAGTGGAATGAAGCACCCATGGGCACCTCGTGCATCCCTACCTTCAGTACTGAGTGGTGTGGGCGGGGTGCCAGCACCCACCTCCCCACCATGGCTGACCCTCCGTGGCAGTGCCACCGGCACGTTCCTGCCCAGCCGTGGCAGGCTGCTGCTCCAGCCCTCCCGGCCCCCGGGCTCCAGCAGCCCGCTGGGCTCTGCCAGGGTGAAGGAGCGCCGGGGCTGGTCGGAGCTGGTGGCCAGTGGCTCAGCGGGCAGCTGCCTTCCCAGGGCTTTCCAGGCTGGCCGGGGCTCGGCGCTGGGCTCCGTCCTGGCGGCTGGGCTGCGGAAGGGTGCGTCTGTGGGGCAGGCAGGATGCAGCTGTGGGCGTCCAGAAGCGACAGCCCCAGGGATGGTTCTTGGTGCTGGGAACCAGCCTGCGGTCAGCCCAGGGACTGGGCAGTGGGCTGGTGTCCATCTGCCAACGCCAGGGATGGGCACCCATGGGGTAGGGCACCCTCCCGAGGGTGGAATTCTGCCCACGTGCTTGTGCCCACCAGTCCCTGTTGGCTCCAGACCCCATGCTTGGTGCTAGGAGAGGGGATAAAGCCCTCTGCCCCAGGGGCTGGTGTGACCCCCCAGCATGCACTGCTGACCCACCTGTGGACACAGAGTGTGTGCGGGCCTTCAGGGATGGGGGCGAGTCTGCAGAGCTGTCTACGATGTCCCCTGCAAGCACAAGCCACCGGCCAGCATCAGTGAGCTGGGGTCTGCCCAGTGCCACCAGCACCCAACAAGGGAAAGATGTAGTGGGACCCACAGCTGGGAGTCCAAGGGGGCCTGCCCATGGCCACCCATGGGTGCCCAGCTGGGTGGGGGTCAGGGTGGGGAGGGAGTAGCCCCTCACCATCTGAGCCGGCTTTCTTGATCTCGCTGTCTTTGCTCTGCAGGGGGAAAAAAACTGGTAAGGGGGGTGTCAGGGAGGCAGTGCTCACAGAGACAATGGGTGCAGAGGGCAGAGTGCTGCTGCCAGGCTCTGATGTGGTTGCAGGGAATGGGTGCATGCCAGGAAAGGAGGGACAGACTGACAGACACCATGCAGTGTATAGGAATTCACCCCTTGCAGAGGGTTAGGTGACAGGGCAGAGGCTATGGGCAGCGGCAGCACAGAGCTGGGTGCTGCCATCCCAGTGGGGAGATGTCCCCACTCTGTGGACCACCATCTCCTATCACCCTGGAGGGGCAGGGTTCACCCCAAAAATGGAACCAGTCCCCACCTGCTGCTTCTTGCTCTCAGCAGCCGGGCCCTTGGTGACGCCGATGCGGTGGAGCATGACCTGCATGCGCTGCTCAAAGGAGCTGGACAACTCCCCCTCGCTCTTCTCCAGGTGCCTCTTCTGCAGGAGAAACACAACCCTGCCAGGAACATGGACCCACCACAGCACCTGTGGCACCCACACTCCTGTCTGCGGGGCACCCACATTCCCAACCCCAGCCATGCTGCCAGGAGATGGTGACATGGACACGACCCAGTGGGGATATCCCCAGCCATTTCTCCAGTGTCCCCACATCCCCTGGTAACCGCACCAGCATCCATGGATGGGAGCAGCACCCGCCAGGTGAGCTGAACAGTGGTGGTGGCTTGATGACTGTGACACTGCTTACCTTGTCATGCCTGACCCCCAGCGCATCTTCATCCTCCCCGGACAGCAAGATGAGTGACTGGGATTTGCCCTCCCGTGAGTACTTGGGCCGGATCCTCCGGGCAGAGTCAGGAGTCTGGCAGTGCTCAGGCTCTGCTTGGGGCTCGGTAGAGAGCCCCCCCTCCTCTGATTTACTCAGCGGCTTCCCTGACTCGCCTGCCTTGCTGGGGGCTCGTAAAATGTCACTGAGCATCGAGCGCCTGCTCCTAGGGGCAGTGGGACCACCCTCGGGCTCCTTCTCACACCTCGAGCCCCGGCTGGATTTGGGTTTCTTGAAGGCAAAAAAATTCCCAATTTTCTTCTTGAGGGTGCGGGAACCAGAGGGAGCCAGAGGGGCTGATCCCAGGCAGGTCTCCGGAGTTGTGGGGCTGGGGAGAGATGAAGTATTGGAAAAGGTGAGCTCCAGGCTGCCAAGAGGTAAGGGATTAAGATTGCCCATGCTGAAGGGATGGATCCAGACCCTGGACACCCCACCTGAGATGGCAGTGTCCTGGCAAGGGCACCCATTCCCATCCCCTGGGTGCTGCCTCATTGCCTTCCTGCTGTGGAACAGACTCCATGGCCACATCCAGCACACCATGGCTGCCATCCCATTCCTCCTGCCCCAGCCTTGCCCTTGGCAATATCCCTGAGTGTGCAGCCTTCCCCAGCATCCCCTTTGCACTGGGACCAGCAGCATTTGCAGTGAGGCTGCTGAAACCTGGGCACGGGTGTGTGCTGGGCAGGTGAGGGGCCCTGAGCACCCCGGGCTTACGGCAGTGTTTCTGTGATGAGCCTCTTGGCAAAGAAGTCCTCCAGCCCCTCGTCCACGCGGGTGATGCTCCTGTCCTCGCTGTTCTCACAGGCCACGGGCTGCACCTGTGAGGGACAGCTGCTGTCAGCCCAGCACAGGGCAAAGGTGCCCCCGGGCATGAAGGTGTGTCTGTCACCCACCCCTGGGCATGAACAAGTGGGTGCCCCTGCAGGATGGGTGCTGGCACACTCCATCTCATACCCAGCATTAAACCAAACCACGATGTTATCAGCTGCATCCCACCTCTAATCCTGCTCCCTGCCTTGAGCACAGGGAGCTCCAGGCAGCCCAGGCTCCTTCCAACCCCTTGCCCAGCACGGTGGCTGAGGTATGGCACTCATACTGTGGGAGAAACCTTTGGCAGGGATGCCTCCTCCATCTGAGCTCCAAGAAAGGGACCCCTCTGCTGCTGGTGGGTGATGGAGCAGGTGACCTGCAAGGACCCACATCTGCATCCTTCAGATGTTTCTAGTCCAACCTTGGAGTGCCACCACAGCCTGCCTGAGAGCCACCTGCTCCATCCCCATAACAAAGTGGTCCACGCCATGGCCAAGCCTTCCTCCATGGCACCTTCCTCTCCCTGGCATGTGCCACTGCATCAGTGGCATCCTATCGATGAGAGGGAGGCGCTTCCCCATCGGTGGCATTTCAATCCATAATGACTTTTCATTACGGCTGGATTGATGCCGCTCAGGAGCCGTTCCAGCCATCTGAGATCTGCTCTCCCTGTCATATCACATCCATCAAAGCCTGTCCTTGCTCAAGCCTTGGCCCACCCTGGGTGCCAGGCACGCCTGTCCCACTGTAGGGTGATGACCCCCTGGCACTGCCAACCTCCAGAGCCCACCCTGCCCGTGGGACACAGCTCCTGCCTCCCCTCCCGTGCCATCCCTGATCCCACCATGATCCAAGGGCAAGCATCACCACAGCCGTGCAAGCCAGGGCTTTCCAGCAAGTGCAAGGATCCAGCTGCATCACGGTGGCATGGGGATGAGGTGATGCCAGCAGGATCCAACCCCAGGGACAGTGATGGAGCTGTACTCGCCACTGACTGCACCCAAAAGTTACTTTTCCTTTGGGAAGAGGGGTGCAAAGGCAGGATCCCCATCCAGTCTCCTGTTGGATGGGGGGAGCACAACCCACCTCATCACGGCAGGCAGAGCCCCACCAGCATCACCGGGAGCCGTGGTGGCCACCAGTGCTTCAGGGATGATGGATTTTGGATAAGGGGGAGCAAATGGAGCTCAGGAGGGAGGCAGCTGGAGCCATTGCCGAACACATCGCTGGCCCTCTGCACCCAAACTCTGCAGGGTTTTTCATTCCTCTCCTGGCTCCCACCGCTCAGCATCTCCCAGTGGGGAGCAGGAAAGAGGACGGATGATTCCCCTCGCCTCCCCCCAGCCCCCTTGCCCATCCTTTCAGGCTGCCCCCCGAGGAGGAGGAGGCTCCGGCAGCAGCTGAAATGCAGAATAATAAACCCACCGCGTCTTTGCGCATCTTATTTTCCTGCCTTGCAACAAATACCGACTGCAATAATTCACCCAAGCGGAAAAAAAAATGGGAAAAACACCCCGAATACACCCCACCTCCCTTGCCAGCCGTGCCCCCACCCTTACATTCGGCTTGCTGGGCGGCTGCTTGTGCCGGCGGTTGGGCCGGGGCCTGGCTTTGGTGCAATGCTCCAGCTTCTCGCCGGCGGTCGGCAGGTCCATAAGGAATCCGGTGGCGGTGGCAGGCTGCGTGGCGGAGAGCGAGCCGCTCGCAGGCTCAGCATCCTTTGTGGAGGCAGGGCGTGCCGGCGGCGCGGCGGGGCTGAGTGACGGCGGCGCCCGGTGAGCTCGGAGCCCGCTGGCGTCTCGACCCGCTGCCGGCTCCAGCTCCGAGACACCTACGAGAGGCGACAGGGTCCCTGTTGACACCCGCCCTCGCCAGGCCTCCCCATCATCATCATCATCATCACCATCATCATCACCGGCGCCGTCACCCTCGCCCACGCGCGGAGGGTCAGCGAGCGGGGCCGTGGCTCCGCCGCGGGCCGGGAGCGTGCCCGTGCCCGTGCCCGTGGCCGTGCCCGCCGGGAGCGTGCGTGGCGGCTTTGCGGCGCAGCCTGGGATGGATCCTGCCTCTGCCGCCGGAGGTTTGCGTGCAGGGGATGGTGCTGTGGGGGGATTGTGCGGGGATGCTCAGGCAGGGGCCGAGCCGAGCCCCGCAGCCAGCCCTGAGACCTGCAGCAGTGGAACGGCACAAACTGTGCCAGCAGCGAGCAGCACTCACAAACATTGCCGTTTTGCTCTGCAGGCAGCTCCTCACCCCCCCCACGTACCCTCTGGATGGGTGGCAGGGTGCTGCGGGGCTCAGGGACCCCCTGGGGACACAGGGGTGCTGAGTGATGGAGTCTGCATGAGCTCTGCTTCAGCCAAAGCAGAGTGACCCATCAGCTGCTCCTGGTCTGTGCCCTCCTGAGATTCACTCCCCTCCCAGGCCGGTGGGGACAACACCAGCAGCAAGGGAAACCCATGGGCAATGTCTTCTCCCCAAGGTTGTTGGGTGAATGAGTGGTGTCTATGTCCAGCGTGGCCGTGGGAGATCCCATGGCACCCACAATCACAGACAAACTGCCTCCTCCTGGCTGGCTCTGTGGGGAGGGAGTTCAGGGCATTTACTCCACTGCCCAAGGGCACTGAGCCAGCTGAGGCCCAAAACCAGCACAAGAGCAAGGTCAAGGTGAGCTTCCCCCACAGACCCCCACCACAGCACTGGGAAAGGCTCTCTGAAGGGTCCAGACCCCGCTGCCCTCAGCCCATGACCACGGGGGACTCGGACCATGAGGCTCCCCCATTGCTGCTGCGAGCCCCCCGCCCCTGCCATGCTCTGTGGAGGCAGCACGGTGCCACTGAGCCACAGCAGGGGGACAGCTCCACGGTGACCTTACTTCTCACAGTTGGTGTGGGCCGAATGCTCCTGAAGTGCTTGTTTCTCCTCCGCAGGGCCATCTTGTACTGCAGGGAGAGAGGGATGGTGGCAGCCCTGGCATGGACAGGCTGGCTGTGCCAAGACACATCCCATGGCAGTCAGAGCCAGCCAGGCTTTGCCCAGTGATGGGTGCAATCCCCCATCACCCCTAGGCTCCGAGGCTGCACCCCTTCATCTTATCCCATCTCCAAAACCACCCAAAGTGCTGGATTGGACACTTCCCCATCCAGAGCCATGCACTACACTGGACCCAGGTGTCAAAGCAGCAACAGCAGGACAAGGTACGAGCAGCCAGGCTGCCACAAGGACACGTTCCGGTGCCAGCAGCACGGCCTGGAGGGCTGATGGTCCCATTTCCCAGCACTAATTGCCTTAGCACTACTCTGGGGGGAGCCGGGGGGTGCGTGCACCCAGAGAGGCTGTGGTTAAGCCCGGCATCATCCGGTAAGGCGGATAAAGGGCGGCTGTACCGCGGGCATCACGCGGCGGCAGCGGGTCCGGACCCTACCTCCTCTGCAGCGAGGTCCGGAGGATTCCTGCTCCTCGCCAGCGCGGTGGCATCGTCCTCAGCCGACTCCGGCAGCAGCACCAGGAGGTCGAGCCCCTGCTTGGAGAGGCTCTCTGCCTAAAACCATTAGGAAGCGCTTAAATTATCCCAGGGGCTGGAGCGTGCTCGGCTGCCCTGTGTGCTCTGCGCCGCTCTGCTCCCTACCCACGGCTGGGATTTGTGAGCGGATTTAGGCCTGATTAGCCGGTGTCCAGCCCAGCGCAGCTGCCCTGCTGCAGCAGTGCCCCACGTCACCCGGCAGCAGCGCTGGGACTTTGCTCAGGGTGTTAATATTGCTGTGACCACACTGGGAGAGGATTACCTGGGAGGAAAACCAGCCTGGGTGGGAATTGTCCTGCTTCCCAGACTGCAAATTCATGGTCACGGCATTGGTGTCCAGGTACCTGGACAATGCTGGGGTATCCAGACCCCCATCCTGCATCCCAGCCCCACATCCCCATCCTGCAGGTGCTGGCAGCCCCCAGCACTCACCAGTTTGCACTGGACAATGGTCAGGTCTCCCAGCACGGCATCCACCACGCAGTTGGCTACAGCGGCTGTGACGGACAGCTTGATTTCACTGGGAGCAGAAAAAGCGTGCTCAGGGCCAGCACCCACCAGCCCTGCGAGCCATGGGGCCATCTCCCCAGGGAGGGCTTTGCTGAGGAGATGGATGCGTGGCTGTGGCACACAGAGGGGCTACCAGGACATGCCCATGTGCTGCAGCTTGCTGGCCTGTGCTGCCAGAGCAGGAATGGGAATAGGCACTGGCTGGGATGGAGAATGCTGAATGCATCCCATTGTTGATGGTCAGGGCCAGCCAAGGGGATGTGCCTGCAAGAACATCATCACCCCACGGGTGTCTCCAGCACCCTAGGGACTCATCCAAAGTGGATCCAAGCAGGAAGCAAAGCTACAGCTGGAAAACTCAGCAGCAGAACCCAGCACACCTCTACCACAATGTGGAGAGAGGAGAAGTTGCTGGAGAGCCCCCAGCAAGCTCCTCTGGCCCCAGGGATCAGTGCCAGTGCCTGAGCGAGAAGGAAGAACAGCACATCACCCACTTCAGCTTGCTGAAGACATCAGTGACCATCTGGTCCAGGACAGCGCTGAGGCTGAGGTGGTCCTGGAGGCAGATCCTCTCCGACATGGCATTGACCAGCTGATCCCTGACCCCGCTCTTCTGCACCACAGCTGGGCACAGGCTGTGGGCCGTGTCCAGCACCGCCTGCATGATTGCCTACAGTTTGGGCAGGAAAGGAAGGTTTCACTTTCTTTTCTATCAGGATTCACATGGTTTTCAGTAGAACTCCCTTTTCCATGGGCCAAGGCTGATGAACATCCCGTGCCGCCCATGGGTGCCCACCTGGATTTCCCGGCTGCAGGTCTGTGATGCTTCCTCCGTGAGACACTCCAGCTTGTGCTGCAGCTTGCCATTCTGGTAGGGGGTGTTTCCCGCTTCATACAAGAGGGGCAGGATCTGACATGGGAAGGGAGACGGTGTGGATCATCCCATGTCACCTCATCTTCTCTCCCCATATTTCCATGCACAGCCTGCACCCATGGCTCTCCCATGGAAGAGCATCACCTGCATCAGCTGGGGAGACCCAGTGATCTTTTGGCTTTGCTGGGCCAGGTTTGGGCATCCTTGTCCCTCACAGTCCCTGCATCCCCTCCCCTGCCACTCACTGACTCTCCTTCTCTTGCACCCCACTACACTGCTTCCTGCATCAGGGAGGTCCTTAACCAACCCTTCACACCTTTCCCACATCAGTACTGTCTTCTTAAATCATGTCTCTGCCAGATTAAGTAACCAGGGGGGTGCCAGAGAGGTGGGGGAAAGGGGAAAGGAGGTGGTTTGAAGAGAAGCAGAAGAGGAGGAGGAAAAGGTGCAGTGGGGAGCAACAACCAAGACCAGGAGGATCAAACAAGGTCTGACAGAGCCAGAACTGCCAAGTCAACATGACAGATTTTGTCAGGGGCTGATGGAGCACTCTCATTGCTGGGGTGGGATGAAGGTGCCCCAGGGAGGGACCCTCAGGATCCAGGGAGGTTTCTCACCAGTGTGGGCATCTGTGGGTTGCAGGGTTGGAGCACCCATCTCTCCCAAGGAGGGACGTGTGAGCATGGGGTGCCAGAGGAAGAGGGGCTGTAACCCTGTGGGGGGTGTGCACACAGCCGTGTGTCTCTGGGGCAAGGGGACTAAGAACATTTTGATCTTTGTTCCAGAAGGGAATTCAGAAATTCTCAGCTGTTCTTTGATGTTTGCAAGTGCTCGGTGCTGTGCATTGACGTTCTGAAATTCCCTGACTGCTGGTTAATGATGTCATTAACTAATCAATGCCCTGCTTCGATCCCAGATGGGTGCTGGGTGAGCTGAGGGGGTTTCCCACGCTGTGGACTCACGCTGACGCAGAGGTTGGCATTCCTGATGGCCTCCTCGGCACACAGGATGTCCGTCTCCACCTCCCTGCCCGTGCAGGTGCTCAGGATGTCCACGTACTTCTGCACACTCAGGCAGATCTCATTCACCATCTGGAGCACAGAGAGGCTGTGTCATGTGCCAGCGCTGGGGCAGCACTGCCAGTTCCCCTCCTTGGCTGTCCCAGAGAAGAGTGTGCTCAGATTGGGCACAGGCAGGTTACAGCCTTTAAGAGCACCCCTGCCTAATAACCAGGGATGGACACGGCAGGGATGTGCTGGTAGGAGTGCACAGGGGGCAGGAACACACTCCATAGGTTAGCATAGCAGCAAGTTATCTCAGCAGTGCATATTCATGAAATGCATGGATGCAACCAGCAGGATTCCAGGAGATCTGCTTTCCATCCGCCCCCACCCTCACCACAGAACCATGACATGATTTCGGCTGGAAGGGATCTTAAAGGTCCTCCTATTCCAGCCCCCCTGCCATGGTCAGGGACACCTTCCACTAGACCAGGTTGCTCCAAGCCCAACCTGGGCTTGAACACTTCCAGAGATTTGGCATCCGCAATTTCTATAAGCAACCTGCTCCATCCCTGAATCTGCTCTGCCTTCCACTCAGGAAAGGTTAAAAGGGTGTTTTGCTGCTTGCAAGAGTCTCATGAGCAAGCCAGGGTGGTTTGGGGCAGGGGAGCAGCAGCCGCACGCAGTGCTTTGTCCATCAAACCTGCTCAGAGGAGGTGGTGAGGATGCCCTGCTGCAGCCGCAAGGTCTGTGCCGGCAGCGTTTGCCGCAGCTGGTTCCTCGTCAGGCAGGACTGGAGCTGCAAAGGCAAGAGGCCGTGAGCAGGGATGGTGGCACCTGGCCCCGTGTTCCAGCCCACTTCCCCCCACCTTGTGCACGGCCTCCTCCGTCCTCTCGGGGCTGCTGCGGTAGGCCTGCGCCACGTCGCTCATCGGCAGCGGCATCGACTTGAGCGTGAAATTCCTGCGAGGCAGAGTGGGGTCAGCAGCTGCTGCACCCAGGGCTCACCCCCCTGCTCATGTCCCCATGGACATGACACAGGCTCAGAGCCACCCAGCAGCCTGGACGTTGTGCTGGGGTCCAGCCCTGGAGATAGGGATGGCCAAACTCTGGCCCTGGGGACAGTGACATGCTGGTGACAGAGGCTCTTTTGCATGGCAGCAACAAGCCAGGAGGACCAAGAGGCTCCTTCCTTACCTCTCCAAAGCTTGAGCCACCTCTAGAAGCCCATGGGCTGTTGTGTTGTTCCTGTCCCAAACCACAGTCCTGCAAAAAGAAGGACCTGGGTGAGCCCTGCCCACACCCACACCACCCTGAGGTGGGTGCTAGCAAGAGTCAGCCCAAGGCTGACTCCAGGCATCAGAGAGCGTAAAAGTGGGGTTAAAATTACAATTTTCAGTATCCAAAACCTAAACTTGGACTTTGCAAGGAGCTATAAAAGTTAGGTGGGTGCCTGGAGGGAGTGAAGGGCTGGGAGGACACATTCAGGCACCATCCTGCAGGCAGGGACAGACATCCCCAGAGGAACAGCCCATTCCATCTCCTCTGCAGACGCCCCTGCTTTGGCTTTGTGTACACAATGTGGTCAAAAATGGTGTTTTAGGAATTGATGGCAGGGCATGAGGCGAGGGCAGTGACCACAAAAGTGTCTGCAGCATGCTGGGTTGGGCAGGAGCCTGGAAAAGAGGTGGCAAGCACCAGGGCAGGGATGGAGCTGCTCTCTTGTCCTTCACATGTCCCTGCCAGCACTGCCAGATGACTGCCATGGGTGCAAAATGCAGTCATAGCGTCTGACCTTGTACCAGGAGTGGTCCAGGACCTCATCCATGGCCATCAGGAGCTGTTACAAAACTCCTCTGATGGCATCAGCATCACAACCATCACACCAGGGCCACCCAGCACAGGGTCACCCACAGGGTGTGACAGAGCTGCTGCTACCTGAGCTTGGTGTTGATCTGCAGGGCCTTGGCGAGCATCTTGGCCCCCGTGTCCCCCATGGCGTTGCCACTGATGTCCAGGGACACCAGGCTGGTGTTGCTGCCCAGGGCACTCAGCAGGACGTTGGTTCCCAGTTTGAGGCGTGATTCAGCCACAGACAGTGACTGGAGAGGCTGGAAAAGGGACAAGGAGGGGGACCAGGACATGTAAAGGTGCTTGTCACCCTTCAGCCACAGTCTCCACCCCTGTGCAGCAGCCTCTGGGCTGGTTTTGGAGAGAACAAGGGATACCGAACCCTGAGAACAGAAGGGCAGTGACTGCTTAGACAGGCTGGATTTGGCTCAGATGCCCAGCAGGCAGTGAGGAGAAAAGAGAGGTTTTTTTAGGAAAGCTGTGCTGAATGCAGGTTACAAGTATCTCCTCCATGACTTTAGCCAGATACAGGCTCCCATTTTCCCAGATTTCCCACTTCTCTGTCTGAGCTTCTGCTTCAGACTGAGGAAAAATAAAAGCAGAAGGACTTGAATGGCAGTGGGGGAAAGGGAGGATTGCTCCCAGCCTGTGCAGGAGGGATCTGGGTGGCAGCCCTGCATGGAGACTGCACAGTGGTGGCTGAGGGTGACCAGGAGCATGGATGGGATGGTTCTGGTGGCTGAGGGCAAGCTGGACTTACACAATCCTCCTCCTGGGTGAGCTGGACAATGCGGTGCAGGACATCCAACAGACCTTCCCTATGGAGAGGTGGAGGCTGTCAGGGGGTTACTTGTGCACACCCTGGGGCCACAGAGGCAGAGCTCTGACTTCCCTCCCACTCTTGCCTGGGCTGTGACCCATCTCTGACACTGCACCAGCTGCTGGCAGTGCGGACCCTCCCTGCACGGGCAGGCAATTCCTACCAGCCCATGGGATTTTGATGGGGAGAGAGGCTCAAGGTGGGTGCACCATTCCAGGATGGCTCCAAGCCTGGGTGCTGCTGCTTTGCACTCACTTGGATTTGATGTTGAAGTTTTTCCCCAGGGAGACGTGCCTAATGGATTTGCTTCTGCCAATGGAGAGCACCAGTGTCACCATGTCGGGGTCAAAGCCTGCAGGAGATGGAGACACCCAAGGGGATGCAGCAAACCCGTGGAGGTGGCACCAAGGTGGTTCCTCACAGGAGACCTGCAGAGCCACCAAGCTGCCACAGTGGGATGTTCCTGGGCAACTTCCTCCCTTCCTGGCTTCCCTGAGGAGACTGAAGACCTGTGCAGAGCTGAGGTCCCTGGGAAATGACCTCTGGGAAGGAGCAGCCCCTGTGGCACTCCTGGAATGGGGGTGCCAAGGCTGTGCTGAGCCACGGGGCACGGAGGGTGCTGGAGATGGCACTTGCTCTCTGCCATCCCTCAGGGATGTGCCCCCCATCACCCACCCACCACCCTGGGAGGAGTTCAGCTTTCAGGCAGCTGCCTGCACTCCCATCCTCGTGGCTGCACCATCCCCAGGGAAATCCAGCAAGGATATGGGCAGGGATCTGCTCACCCTGCAGCTCAACCAGCCAAGGGCACAAGGCACCAACACCCACCCATGGACTGCTCCTCCTGCACAGAGGTGCTCTACTGGGAAAGCCAGAAATAGGAGTATATTTTGGCAAAGGTTGGCCAAAAATTTTGGGTGAGAGCATGAGCTTCTGGAGCATTGGTGTCCTGAAGGACTCCAAACCACATCACCTTTCCCAGAGCCATTTGGCTACTGAGGAATTGCATGGTCTGCTGTGAGAACTTAGCAAGGCTGTTTGAAAGTTTTGGTGAAATTAACAACTGGCAGAGGTGATGTTTGTGATGATTAGGATCACTTGCCCATGGCTTTGGAGGGCACAGCAGGACAAGGCTGGCAGCAGGGGCTACAAACACCTGCAGAGAGGTGGGAAGAGTTTCTGCCCAGGGAAACCCTTTCAGTGCTTCAAACTCTGAACCAGCAACATGAGACCACTTCAGATTCAGTGAACTGAAGAGGACTGTATCAAGCAAGATGCAAAATGAGAAATTTTGGCAAGTCTTGAGGTAGGAGGGCATAAAGAAATCACCTCACTCCCTGTGCTGGGTGACTGGACATGAAAGTCCAGGAGATGTAGGAGATCTTTTCCCAGGCTGGGAAAAAGCAACCTACCATTGTCAGACAAGTCCAGGTGACTGATGGAGCTGGCATCAGGGATGAGATCCTGGATGACTTGAGCCCCCGCTGATCTCAGCTTGGAAGAAACAGCAAGACATCAGTACAAGGGGAGGCAGCGAGCCCTGCAAACGAGATCCTTCTGTGGGGAGCTCAGGCAGGGCACAGAGCTTCCCACGCTGCCCCACTGGGACCCCCTGGCTGGAGGGGTGCTGCCCGTGGCTGCTGGGCCCTCACCTCACAGCTGCTGAGATCCAGGTGCAGGTCACTGATGTGACTGTTGTCTGCCAGCCCTTGCAGCAACGCCCTGGAGAAGTCACCAAAGCCCCATCAGTGCAAGAAATGGGGGGACCAGCATCCACCTCGGGGCACCCCCAGCAGTGCAGGCAGTGGGAGGGATGTGCTGGAGGAGGCATCCTTCCCCGAGCTCTGCCTCTCACAGCCCCTTCCCTCCATCCTCCCCACCAGCCCTGGCCAAGGTCTCCCCAGGCTGTGCTCACCCCAAATCCATTCCCGCAGCCCAATCGCACCTTACAACGTCAGCTGGCAGCCTGGTACCTGCCAGGGAGACATGGCTGAGGGAGCAGGCCTGGCTGAAAAACTCCTTGATGGCAGGGGAGATGGATTTCACCCTCCTGAAAAGGATGGGCACAACATGGCAACAACTGCAACCCAGCACCAGCCACCCCCCTGGGTACTACACATCCCTGGGTACCACATCCCTGGGTACCCCACACCCCTGGGTACCACATCCCTGGGTATCACACCCCTGGGTACCCCACCCCCCTGGGTACCACGCCCCCCTCACAGCATCCCAGGCTTACTTGTGGGAGTACACGTTTTTGGAGAGATCCAGGTGGACGAGGCTGGTGTGGGATCCGTGGAGCAGGGCTCCAAAGAGCTGCCAGGGTGGGGATGTGAGCCATGTGGAGGAGGACCCAGGGGCACTCAGCCCCTCACACAGCCCAGGGATGGAGGGGACTGAGGGCAGGGCTCACTGCCATGGTACTCACAGCATCCAAAGGACAGTCTGTGCCAGCCAGGCTAAGGTGGGAGAGCGAGTGGCAATGCTGGAGGAGGCTCTGCAGGTTCTGTGAGCAGAGGGGGCTCAGCAGCTTTGCCCCTGAATCCCACCCCCCACCCTGCAGCCCTGGAATCCCAGTTCCAGCCTGACTCTTCCCTCCTGCTGAGCAGGGGTGAATCCTGCACACAGGAACCCACTCCCTCATGGGATACATCCCTGCTGCAGATGGCATCTGCCACACTCCCACAAGGAGATGCAGGGGAATGTCCCCAGGCTGTCCCCAGCTGCTCCCAGGCAGGCGCGGGGGGCTGCAGCCATGACCCCCCCATCCCTGGGGTGCTTCAGGGCAGGACACAGACCAGAGGAGACCAAAGCCATCCAAACCAGACTGGGGACAGTCTGAGTGGTGTCACCCACCCCATCACAGCATGGCACTCACACTGATGTCGTCCCCAGCCAGGGTGCCAGGGTTTCCAGAGAGGTCCAGGTGCCGGAGGGAGAATCCAGTGGCTTTGTTATCTGTGAGGGCCTTGCATAACGTGCTCATCCCTGCTCAGAGAGAGCGAGAGATGCATGGCTACAGGCTCCCTGCACTGGGGAGAGCCTGGCAGCAGAGCAAGGGAACTTTCCTCCAGCCAGGGCAGCAGGACATTGCATCCATGAAGGTGCCCCTTTCCAGGGTGTCTCTGCAGGCCCTCCATCGCTCCTTTTCTGGAGTGGGGCAAGGGCATCTGGGCTCTACCTTTGGCTGTGAGCATTGTCCTGGCCAGGCTGAGGCTCTGCAGACCCTTGGAACTCTTCTCCACGTGCCGGCTGAAGGCAGAGACCCCTGATGAGAGCAGAGAGCTCTGAATGGCTGTGCCAGCACAGCGAGGGTCCAGCCCACCCCGAGCTGCAGCCTCCAGGACAGGACTCAGCTCCTGGTGGGATCTGGAGCTGAACATCAGTTTTTGTGGGTGTAAACTCATCCCAGCCCAGAATCTGAGTACCTCTGTCTTCCAGCTGGTTGCCAGAGAGGTTGATGGTGTGCAGGACAGAGTTGGGATGGCTGCTGAGCGCCTGGGCCATCCTCTGCACAAAGTCACTGTGGGGAGAAGGGTCACCCATCTGAGCAATGCTTGGACACCTCCAGGAAAGACAGCCACCAGCCCTGTAGTCTTACAGGGACATGCCACCAGCTCCTGCCTGTGTGGCAGACCGGGCTCATCTGAGCAGCCAGAAGGAAGCAGAGCATCTCCAGGGGTGGGGGTATTCACTTCCAGGCTATGGGAGTCTCTGCTTCCAGTGAGCTTCTCAGTGTGGAGGGGATGGACCCTGGCACAAGGCTCCATGCATGGACCTCCCTGCCCCCTGCACTGAGGGAAGAAGCTGCCAAGGTCCTGCTCATCCTTGCCTTGCAACCCCTTCACTTACGCTTTCAGCCCACTGTTCTCCAGCACCAGCTCCTCCAGTGCCACTGACTTGCTGAGCATGTAGAGCAGCTGCTCTGAAATCTCCTGATTCTGGCAGGGAAGAAGAAAGCCTTTCTGGGAGCCTGGCCACCTCCAGCGCACCCAGAGCCACAGCCCTGGCACTCACCAGCCTGAAATCCTTGCAGGAGAGCTTGGTGAACCACAGGTTGAAGGACAAGGCAGCAACACTCAGAGCCACATCCCTGCAGGGTGACAGGGAGGAGGGAGCCAAGGGCCAGGATGAGCCAAGGCTAATCCCAAATGGGTGACCCAAAACTCCCAACTGGGGCATGCCCCAAGACATCCAGCCCCAGGGGGCCCCAAGCCACCCAGGATGCCAGGACACACCCATTCCATCCAAACTGGAGGTGCTCCAACTGACCCAACCCTGGGATGCTCCAAGACACCCAACCTCAGTGTGTCCCAACACAACAGAACAGGACTGGGGATTGTGGGTTTAAAGCAACCCACAGGTACAGATCATCTTCCCCAGATTATTCCCTTGGGGAGAATCAAATGAATCAAAATATTTGCATGCTTCTACCTAAACCCCGGGGTTTTAAATTCTTTTTAACTCTGAGCTCTCATGTGAGCAACACCACAGGTTTTGGGTGAGTGGAAAGTGGAGTCTTTTTTACTTCCTCATCCAAAGAAATCTCTAAAACCGTCTCCTTTTTGACCAAATGAACACAGATCCTCTGTTCCCCAAAACACTCAGCCCAGAACTTTGACTCGCTGTGGCCCAGCCTGGCAGCTGCCTCCCCTGAGAGCTGAGCCCTTGCTCTGTCTTTCTTGGGATGGAGACGTGGCTGAGCCCCACAGGGAGAACTCAGCTGGAGCACACAGCCCCACTATCAGGCTATAACCAGGTGATAATGAGGTTATAACAGATATCTGGGGGGGCTGGTAGGGAGCACTGCAAGTTTCAGGGTGGCAAGCTGCTTTGCATAGGGAAACACCTGACAGCCACGAGCTGCAAGAAGCCACGGTGACATGGGGGTTTCAGCCCTATAAACAGCTCCCAGGATGATCTAAGAGTTTAAAATGAACAGAGAGGCTGCCCGGACTCGCAGCTGCTGCCCCATGGGACGGGGCTCAGAGCGTTGGTGAGGGGCAGTGTCAGGCTGCAGATGTGGCATCCCTGGAGCGTGTAACCTACAAAAGCTTCTAACACGGGCAGGAGAGCACGCTGGGCCCCCAACAGGGGCAGGGAGTATGAGGATGAGTGCTGGGACAGGGCAGGCAGCATGGCTCGGGGACTCACCGGCTCTCCAGGTGGCTGAAGTCCAGCAGGTTGAATTCCCGGCAGTCCTGGCTGTGGTAAATGTTGTCCACGTCCTTCCCAGAAGGATGCACACATGGATCAGACTCAGCACCGGGTCCTGGGGAGGGCTCAGGTCCCTGGTGCTGCTGGAGGGAGCTGAGCCCTTGGGGAGCCCCTTCTGGGGAGTCCCTTGCCTAACCCCAAAGCCTAAAACCTTCCCTAATGCTCTGGCTGGCAGGGGACATGTCCCAGCTTGGTGGGACAGACTGGTGAGTCTTGGACAACTTCTGCAGGGAATGGTCAGAGGGCAACACAGCCCAGGCTGGTGGGAGAGAGGGTGTGGGGAGAGGTGAGCTGGGATCAGTGTCCAGAGGAATGGGGCACAGAGAGTCCTGCTATGGCTGGGTCCCAGCAGGATTCTCCTCTATCAGGACACCCAGCAAGGTCCCACATTTCCAGGGCCTCTCTCTAGGTGACAGTCTGGGAAACAACCTAGTCCAAGGCACGCCGCTCCCACCTGCACTTTGATTCCAGCCCACCGGGGAGCAGGGGGCACTCAAGCCAGGCAAAGCTGCAGCTCCCAGCCCCAGCAGCTCCGAGGGGCAGCCACAAGCATCCTGTCACCAAGTGACACACTGCCACCGCTGCATCCACAGGCTGGGCCAGCTTACCCACTGGATCTCCTCGCGGAAGGCAAAGCCGTTGTAATCACACAGGGCAGCGTAGGTCTCCGAAAACCCCCCTGCAGGGAGAAGGCAGTTTGGGGGCTGACCTTCCCAAGGGGACATGGAGGAGAACTTTGGGGAGAGTGGGAAACAGGAGAGGGATGACAGGGACTCAGAAGTGATGCTCCCCCTTCCCTCCTCACAGGGGAGAGATCTACTGTCAGCCCCCAAAGGGGCTGTGGCTTGCTTTGCTGGTCCATGTGGATACCAGGCAAGGCACTTTGCCATGGGGAAAATGGAGGGATCCTGCTCCAGACTACAGGAAAACCTCCTGGCTCTGCAGTGGTGCCACATGAGGTGGGTAGAAGCATGCATAGCTACAGGTCCTTGCAGGTAGATTCTGAGCAATATTGCCTGCTGTCCTGCTTCTTCCTGGGGAGCTACACCCCCTCAAACCTGCTCCTGCCCCTTGGGATGGGGTGGGCTGGTGGACAGCAGACCCCAGCAGCAGGGCTCCGTCTGACCAAAGCCATCACAGGTGCCCTGCCAGCAGAGGTGAGGGCTGTCAGCAGAGCTGCTGATGATGGATGCAGGGCTGGAATGGTCCTCAGTGCTCCAACCCTCCTGGTCCTGCCTGAGGGAGGCTATGGCAGGACTTACCACAAGGCCCAGGGTTGCTCTGCAGCATTTCCTCCAGAGAGTCTGTGATCTGCTGGATCCTCTCATACAGGCTGGGGGGGCAGTTCTTGAGCAGTGTCCTGGGGAGGGAGCAGAGGGCTGTGTCAGGGTGGGCCAGGAGAAGAGCATCCCCACCACTCTATGCCAAGCTACAACCCTTGTGTGTAGGGTGGCCAGAAATATTCAGTCAGGGAACAGGGTCTGGCCTCCATCCATGTGTTTTTCTCCTGCTAAAAGCAATGTTGCAGACCCATCCTGTATTTGGGATTTTCTAGCTGCAGGTGTCCCAGTTCATGGCAGGTGGGTTGGAACTAGATGATCTTTAAGGCTCCTTCCAACCCAAACCCTTCCAGGATTCTGCAGACTGGGGCTTTTCTGGGCAAAGGGGTTGCTCTGGTTCCTGCACAACCACCCCTCAGGAGCAGAAGACCCTTACCCAAGGGATGAGTCTGGAAAGACCTTCCTAAGTGACATGGTGACATGGATAACAACTTGCTCCAAATCATCCAAGGACATGAACCGGAAGGCATAAGACGCTGCATCTGTTTCTATGACAACCTGCAGGGTCCAAAGGATGAGAGATTCCTGAGCGAGCTGGCAGCACACAGCGTCCCCAAGCCCCCAGACACAACGGTGACAGCCATCAGCTCCTCACTGCCAACCCAGCCATAAGCACAGAGAATGCTGTGAGCACCAGGAATTTAGGATAAAGTATATTGGTGTGCCAGAATAAGGCATAAACCTCCTGAAAATTCAGCTTAAGCTGATGCAGAGGCAGCCCGATGCAGCGAGGTGAGAACAGCCTTGTCTCTGCCTGCAGCAGCTGCAGCTGGAGCATGGAGGTTTCATCCCTGAATTTATTTAATCGAGGTTTAGGGCTTTTTCAGCTTATGGTTCCTACCAGGAAAAAAAAAAATCCCATGGCAACATGCTCCCTGATTTAATTACACGCTGATTGAGGCGTGGGAGCAGGATGACAATTATCTGCTGGCATCGTGCAGGACGGCGCTTCCGCCAGTGCCCGGGGCTGTGGAGGCAGGAGAGCGTGGGACCGCCTGCACTTTAACAATCCCTGGGCTTTCCACGTCCCAGTCAGATGTCTTGCCCCCCTCCACCCTGAGGCATCAGCTCCCTGCACCCCTCTGTCTGTGCCCAGCTCCTTCAGCTCTCTCCTGGAGCTCAGCCACGCAGCCTGCTGAGCAGCAGAAACCCCGTGTGGAGGCTGAGGCCGTGGCTGCTGCTGATGCTTTAGCAAGAAAAAGCCAGACAGGATGTCAGAAAGGACCAGACAGGAGGTTAACCAGGACCACAGCCCTGTTTTGGCCAATACATCCAAGCCTTGATATCCAATTTCTCTCTTCCATGGTTTCCACTGCCACATCTGCCCTATGTGCCCGCCCCTCTCTAAGAGGATTAACGGGGTTTAAAACACCCTCCTGCTAAATTTGTCTTCACCTTGGTAAGCCTGCAGCCATTTGTCACCTTGTCCCTGCTGAGCAGGAGGTGCCATGGCCAGGCACTGTCCGTGGATGCCAGAGGGGAAGAAGTGCAGGCACCCACCCAGCACCCCTGGGCGCCTCCCTGCACCTCCAGCTCCAGGGCAATGCCCCTGATGAGACCAACACTGGTGGCCCTCAATGTGCCACGGGGGACCAGAACAGCCCCAGATCCTGTGGTGGGCTCTGGACCAGGGTTTGCCATGGGGGAGTGGGCAGAAAGAGGGGTAATGCCCAGGCTGGGTTTGTCCCAGTTTGTCCCACTCACCACACTGGGCTCTTGGACTGTCATCTCCCTCACCTCCAGGAAGCTGAAGCTGCTGTGAACCTGTGGGTGAGAGAAGAAAGATCAGCCCCAGTGCTGATGGAGAAAGGAAACCCAAGGGTTCCCCCCAGCTCCCACACTTTCCCATGCCTTCAGTAGTGCTTGGCCTTGGCCCCGCCCTTCACCAGCCCCCAAACAAGACCCTCTCCCCCTCCCCCCACCTCTCTCCTCATCCTGCTCTTGAGGGCTTCCCAGACCCTGTGGCCCAGGTGACTCAGGGGTCACTCCCTGCAGTGCCCCAAGCCCCCCCAAACCCCAGGGCTGTACCAGGGTCCCCACACTTACCCTCACGGGCAGCATCACAGGCAGCACATAGGCTCGCCAGGGTGTCAGGACCTAGGCAAGGTGTGACAAGGGACCATGGTGACATGGAAGCCACCCCTGTCCCTCACTGCAACCATAAAACACCTTCCTGGGGGACCCAGGAAAGCAGGAACCAGGCCAGACTCTGCACATACCAAGATAAAGTCATCATACTTGGATTTCACCTGCAGCTGGATGCTCAGCACCAGGAGCACCTTCTTTGTCCCCAGGAAGGCGGTGATGCCCTCTGAAAAGACCAATGGCCATATGAAATTAGGTGGCTGAAGTCACCCTGGTCCTCTCCCATGCACGCTGTTGCTCTTGAGATACTGTCCCCACCTGAACCATGTCCTCTCCCTCCACACCTGACAGTCAGACCCTGGTTGCTGTCAGACAAGCCTCACACTCACCACCTGTGGGTCTCCTCTGCTGCTCAGGTGATGCACCCACCTCCCCATCTTCTGCCACAGCCTCAACCAAGCACAAGCTTTGGGGTTGCTGGTTCACACTGCCTGTGCTGCCTCACCCACTGGGAGCTAGCACTGAGAGATAAGAGGGTCCTGATCTCTCTTCCTTTCCAAATTTACCACCAGGGAGCAGCTGGTCACCAAGTCCTTCCTCTCCACAGGGCAGCCAGGGTGGTCACATGTGCCAGCCTCCCCAAGGTCACAGACTGGTCACTCCCACCATCCCTGGGCCAGTGAGAGCATCACTCCTGCCCTGAGCACCAGCTCTGTGCCTTCCTGATTCATGCCTCTCATGGGAGAAACGGGACCAAAACCACAGCTGTCCATCACCGTGCAGAGCAAACCAGGCTGTCACAATGCCATCAGTGGTTTGAGCCATGGGCCCCAGGGACCCACCCTGGCAGAGCCGGGACCTGAGGCTGTGGGGACGCGGTGACCCAGCTCCTTCCCACCCCACTGCAAGCCTCGGTGGGGCTGAGGAGGCTGAAGGGCCTCGAGACCGCTGTGGCCTTTTGCTTTTTCAATCAGCCAAGAGAGGCTGTGAGCAGTGGTATTTCACACCCCCCGTGCTGTGCTTTCCTAGGGAGCTTCTGGGGACCCCCAGCTGGCCAGAGGAGTCCAAGCCCAAGGGACTGAGCCCACCAAGCTGCACCCACAAATCTGGCAGCGTGAGCTGCACAGAATCCCATCCTTGAGGAGCCAGGTTATCTGGGGATGCTCCTGGTCCAGGGTCCATCCTCAGGCAAATTTGTAGACAAGAGGAACCCCCAGACACTGCAGGGCTGTGAACCCCCCTGAACCTCATCTGTTGCAGCTGAGGGACCCAAAAGTGACTCTGCCAAGCCCAGAGAGGCCAAGCAGGCCCGGTACGGGCAGCTTCCATGTGGCAGCGGTGCCCCGGCAGCGCGGCGGCGGGCGATGCTTACCTTGCAGCTCCGTGGGGATCCCTCCGGGGGACACAGCCATGCTTGGGACCGCGGGGCCACCTGCCCGGGGATGCGGGTGTCAGGGCAGCATCCTCGGGCGCCGCGGGAAAGGCACCCTGCCGGGAGGAAGCGCTGAGGTTACCAACCGGCAGCGCCGCCGCCTCGGTGCCTCCTCCCCCTCCCGGTGCCTCTTCCTGCCCCGTCAGGCGAGATTTACCGCCTGAGCAGGAGAAGCGAAATGAAAGCGACGGTGCCCACGGCCCACCGGCCCCGCCGGGAGGAGAGGGCGTCACTGCCAGCACCCTTCTCCTGCCGTGTGCCTTCTCCGCTGAGCAGGACACCCGCCCGCACGAAGCATCTCCCCACGGTTCCAGCCTTCCAGGGTTGAGGATCCATGACCTCTCCCTATCTCCTTGAGGTGCTTCACGGGGACCTATTTCTGCCTGAAGATGGTCGGGGTGTGGGGTAAGGGCAAGTCTCCCCTTCCCAGCACTGGGCAGCCAGCCCAGCTCCATCACCTCGCACTGGGAATCTGCAAGGGGAGCTAATGGAGATGGTGCTGGTCCCACTGCAGGCTGCTCTCTGGAGGATGGATGCTGGTGCCCATGGCAGGATGCTGAAGGAAGGGCCTTTCCAGAACAGAAATGCCCCAGGCCCTCTGTCAAAGCCACAAAACTGCAGTCCCAAAGCAAGGGTGAGAGGCAGGTGACCTCCTTGGAGCAGCAGGACTGAGCACATCAACCGCTCCAACTCATCTGGGAAGATTTTGGACCAGGAAGTGCTCCTGTGTCCCATGACATGCTGCAGAGCTTCCCTGGGCACAGGATTTCCCACTGTTGGCTCAGCCTGGCCCCATTAGAGACTCAGGAAAGGTGCTGAGGGAGAGGCAGAGCTGCTCTCAGCTGGCAGCCTGGGTCCCTGTGACCAGCACCCACCTGGATGGAGGGTGACAGCTGCCTTCTTCCCCTAAATTGTCCTTTTCTGACAAACTTCCAACTCCAGGCTGAAGTCTGCCAACCAGGAGCTCATTGAGCTTTCCCAGAGGTCGAATGACTTGGGAGAAGGTGGTTTCTGGAAGGGATGGGTGAGTTTGCCCTCCTGCTACATGCACTCGGGGCCACCGTGCTTCTGAAACCACCTTCTGTGTGAGGGTGAAGGCAGGAAGTGTCTCCCTGCAGGGATGGCATCTGCACAGAGCCCAGCCACAGCACAAGCTCTTTTCAAGGAGATGACTGGGGACAACATGGCTCAGGGCAAGGACCAACCTCTGCCAAGGAACCTCCTCGAGCCTCCTGAGCTGTGTCCGCGGATGGATGAGCACCAGCAGGATGACGGGCACAGGGTGCTCACCACCCAGTGCAGCCAGGGGCCACCAGCAGCAGTCCTGGCTGGATCCATGTTTTTTCCAGGATGAGAGAAGGCCAGGCTATTGGTATCTGAACTTCTCAAAAGGGCACCATCTCCCAGCTTTGGCATGCAAGGATATTCAGGACACAGAGGGAGCAGCTGTCCCCTTTCATGCATCAGAATGGCTTCTATGGAAGACTAGAAGCACAGAGGAGCTCCAGGCAAGCTGCATCCAAAGCTTATTCCCCAAAATACTGGTTCCCACACGCTGGAACATTCTGAGCACCAGTGCAGCAGGACATGTACTCCAGCAGTGGGACAGACATCCATGTGCACAGGTGTTCCCTGCCTCTGTGCAAGCCCAGGCACATCAGGATGTCTGGAACAGCACACCTCTGTGTCCAGCAGAGAACAGCAGCCCAAGCACCAGGGATGGCAGCCAGGCCAAGCCACTGGCAGAGGCAGCAATGCTCCTTGGATCCATCCCAGCCCTGGCTTTCCATTCAGAGCCCAAGGCCCAGCTTTTCCAGCACTGATAACAGCTCTTGCGTTGCGCAGAATTGTTCTGTCCATATCCAGGCTTTGGATGCTGCTCTGGATGTGTGTCCTTGGCAGCGGGCTGGGATATTGATCTCCATCTCTCCAGAACAGCTCCTCCGAGGGCAAACCAGAGCCTGCAAGAGGCACAAGCAGAGATCCCTGCCCAAGGCAGGATCCTCAGCTCAAATCAAATAAAACCCAGTCTGCATAACAGGACTGAGCAAGCACAGAGAAACCAGGTCAACTGAGCAGATCGCAAGGTAACATGCAAGGCTGGGGAAAAAAAGAGGATGGCCAGAGGGTGACAGCTTCTATCCTCACTAAACCTCTACTGGGGTCTGTGAAGAAAGTTCTAGAATCAGAGCACAATAAAAAAGCTGCTCATAAATTGCTCCTCAGATCAGGGTTAAGGGCAGGGTTACCCTTAGGGTTAGGGGTGAGGGAGCTGAAGAGCCCAGAGCTCCGGGGACACTGGTGCTGGGAAAGGCCTGCCAGGGCGATCGTGGCATGGCCCCAACATTGCTGCTCCTACTCCTTTCTGATCTGGACCCCCTCATCGGAATGGGCACCTCAGCCCCAGTGACAAGTGCCCTGTGCCTTAGGCTAAGGCTTCAGAGCGCTGTCGAGCCTCCAGCTCCAGGGACACTGGCACTGGAAGAGGCAATTGCAAGGGCATCACGGCAGGGTGATGGTACCTGTGGCAGGAACCTGTCAGAGACTGGATGCTGCACATCTCACAGCCCCTTGGATTGCCAGTGCCTGTGTCTGGTGGGAAGGACTGGCTGGGCTTGGCTAAAGGTGAGGCCGTGCTCTGCTCTGTCCCCAGAGCCACCACACCCGGCCTGGGCTGTCAGGCATGGACTCTTGGCATGGTGCTGCTCACCTGAGCCCTGGCTGGCCAAGCCACCAGCAGTGCCACCTTAGGGGCTTAAAGGATGGAGCATGAGGTCAGCACATGGTCACAGCCCATAACCCTTCATGGAGTAGTATTTCCCCAGGTGAACACTACAGAGGGCACTCAGCACCAACCACGCCTGTGGGCTTTGCACAAATACACCTCTCAGGCTCTGGTCCTTTCAGCCTCCCATCAAGCTGCTCACACACAGCCACCTCCCTCAGCTCTTCTGAATTCCAGGGGAGCTGCAGCACCTGGTTTGGTGTCACCCAGGTCTGGGTACAAGAGCATGAGCTGCTGCACATGAAAACTCACACAGACCAGGGGAGGTCTCTGCTGGAGCATGTGTGGCACCTCCTGGGGCCACCACCTAAAACAAAGTCACTGCACCATCCTTCACACCCCAACTTGTCAGCACCAGGTTGAGCCACAGGGTTTAAGATATGATGGTGTTTCTCCTTACAGATCCCAAAAACACCTTTGGTTTTCCCACTCACCACAAAGCCTCCCTAGCTCCAGGCTTATGTAAAACCACCTCAGCACTGCCTCAGACAGAAACATCTTTGGCTTCTGAGCACACAAGCTCCTTGCCCAGCCGGGAAAACACTTGAGGATTTACCCATTTCTCAGCCAGACCTGACTTCTCACACAAGCAGCCCTTACACAACCTCCCACCTGCTGCAACAAGCCTCCAGCCTGCTCAGGACTCCAAACTTCCACCTCCAGACAGGCTTTCCTTGGCAAGTCATAGAAGGACCATCTCTCAAGACCAGGGATAATGTGTCACCAAACACCTCGTGAAAGCCAGAACTAGCAGCTCTTGTGCTTGGTTACAGTCTCCCAAGCAGTGCCATTTGCAATGACTCCTGTACCAGCAGTAGGAGGTTCTATGCTGAACCTGCAGTGACTGCCCACAGCTGGCACCCTAAGCTGCTGTCACAGGTAACTAAAAAAAAACACACCGCAGAAACTCCACCCAAGTACCAGTCCCATTTTTCAGAATAAAATGGAAACAATATTCCTGTTAACTAAACCATCAGCTATAACCATTTAAAATCACAGTCAAAACAAACAGAAGTAACAACTACTCCTGTGTTACTCCAAGCTCAAGCTGTCAACACCAACATTTGCATTTTACATCCTCCCTCCTCTACACACAGAGCAGCACACCCTGATTTAAGGTCATGGACAGGTACCTTGCATTTGGCATGGGGCAGAGGGAACACCTGCAGCGAGAAAGGAGCCAGTCCCTGTTGACAGCATCCTTCTGGGAAGAGCAGCTTTTCCATCTGGAGATGGCTGCCAGGTCGCGCCGTTGACGTACACAAAGAAAGCAGCCAGTGAGCACACGTGTTAATCCGTTATTATTTATTAGCTGTACAGCAGTATATTCTCCTTCCCAGCTTTCAAACCCCATTACATATTTTATAACAGTATTTTTTTTTCCCATGTTGGCTTCCTAAAATAATGAAAAATATCACACAGTACAGCTAAGTACAAAAATGCATCAACCTAGAGTCTGATAGCTAAACTGATAGCTCTCTTAAAAGCGATACATAGAAGAAAAATTTGTTTGAAATCAGCAAGACTGAGGCTCTATAAAAAGCTTACATATTTTAACATGTGACATTTTCATATACAGGCATCATTTGTATTTCACATTATTCCTTTTTTTGTCTTTATCAGAGATTCAAAAATTGTAGAATTACTGACCTATTAATAAAATTTCCTGGCCCAGGTTGAGGGCTGCAGTGACCCACTCATAAATCACCACTTTTGTCTTAACATAGGATTCATAAACACAAAATACAACTACAAGATAGAGCAAAGAAAATGTATTTGTGAAATTACAACTCAAAAAGGTTAATTATATGTTTCAAATTGGTTGGACGGTCACATCCAGAGGGCAGTGGTCAACAGCTTAGACTCTGGATGGACAGCAGTGACTGGTGCCCCTCAGGGGTCCATACTGGGACCAGTGTTATTTACTACCACCGTTAATGGCATAGATGAAGGGATGGAGCACACCCTCAGCAGGTTTGCTAACACCAAGCTTAGGGGGCAGTGACACACCTGAAGGACAGGGCCATCCAGAGGGACCTGGACAAGCTCAAGAAGTGGCCCTTGGGAATCTCATGAGGCTTAACAAGACCCAGTGCAAGGCAGTGCACCTGGGTTGGGGCAACCCTTGGGATCAATCCAGGTTGGGAATGAACAGATCCAGAGCAGCCCTGGGGAGAAGGACTTGGGGGAGCTGGTGGGAGAGACTGGACATGGCCCAGCCATGTGTGCTGGGCTGCATACAGAGCCCTGTGGGCAGCAGGGAGGGGGAATTATGCCCCTCTGCCCCGCTCAGGTGAGACCCCACCTGCAGCGCTGCATCCAGCTCTGGGGTCCCTGGGACAAGGAGGACATCGAACCGTCGGAGCGAGTCCAGAGGAGGCCACAAACATGATTTGAGGGATGGAGCACCATTCCTATGAGGAAAGACTGAGAGAGCTGGAGTTATTCAGCCTGGAGAAGAGAAGGTTTTGGGATGACCTAACTGTGGCCTTACAGAACCTTGCCGGGATCCTACAAGAGTGCTGGAGAGGGACTTTTGGCAAGGGAATGGAGAGACAGGACAACAGGGAATGGCTTTAAACTGACAGAGGGCAGGGTTAGATGGGCTATTAGGAAGAAATTCCTCCCTGTGAGGGTGGTGAGGCCCTGGAACAGGTTGTCCAGAGAAACTTACTGCCCCATCCCTGTAAGTGTTCAAGGCCAGGTTGGACAGAGCTTGGAGAAAGCTGGTCTAGTGAAAAGTGTCCCTGCCTGTGGCAGGGGGGTAGAACTAGATGGTCTATAAAAGTGCCTTCTAACCCAAGCCAGTCTAAGATTCTATAAAATACAATTTTTTGTGCTTCAAAACCAGATTTCACATGTGGGTTTCTCTTGTTCTGCAAGCAATAGTCTGGGTACATATTTTCTCTACCTTATCAACAGCTTTTCCAACATTTACACTCTATCAATTCTCTTGTCACTTAGTTTGAAAGGAATTAGAATACTGGGGTTTCTTTAAACTGCATTTTTGCATACCTCTTAATTAATGGAAAAAGATTAAAATGTAAAAAAAAAAAAGTTATTTACAAGCTTGACCATTACAGAAATGCTTTGCAGAAAGCAAAGCACATTAAGGACAGAAACCAGTTGGAGCATGCCAAAACTACCATGTGCAGCCGACTTGGAGAACCGGAGCTACTCAGTGGGAGAAAGCAAAAACAGAAAACAAAAAAACCAACCAAAAAAAACATTTCAAAAGTCTAGAACCCTCCCAAGTCTGCATTTACAGTTAAAAACACTACTGAGAGAAGAGGCTCAAGGACTCTGGGAACTGGAAGGGCAAGTCCGGAGTGGTTTTCCACATACTCTAGTCAAGGCTTCCACTTTTGTATATTAAAACTTGGTGCATGTAAACACGGCCCTTGGACCAGCTTTACAATGCAGTTCAGAGCAAAACTAAATCAAGCATCTCAGAGGAAACCCTCAAGGACTCCAAAATATTTCCTAATGTTCCATGATCCTGTAATGCTAACATAAAACAGCAAGTTCTAGTTAAATCACATTCTAACATCGTTTTATTCCCAGTATGTTTGGTAAAATGGTCTAAAATGATGCACTTCCCAAAGCCAAGAAAAAAGATTAAAGGAAAAAAATAGATTTGAGCCGCTTAAACACAGCCCAGGCCAGTTCAGTCAGCCAACGTGGTCTTCCTCCATCACCGGTCCATCATGCTGAGAATCATCTCAGGGGTGAGGTCTCCATTGGGAGCTTCCACTACAGCAGGCTGAGCTTCCTCCTCTTCCTCTGCTGTTTCTGCATCAGGTTCTTTCTTCACTTCAACTATAATGTTTTCAATTTCACCAGTGTTCTGGTCTTCAACCTGAATGATTGCTGCAGCTGGAAGGGCAAAGACAAAGGAGGAGGGGGGAGAAACAGATTATTTTACTGTTTGCAGAGCCAGCCTGCATGCCTCTAGCAGGTCTTTGGTAAGACTATTCCAAGGTGAGGCCCACAGCAAGCACTGCCACATCAGTGGGGAGCAATTCAACCCACCTCACTCACCCAAGCACCAAGTATCTATTTTCTTGCCTCTTTATGAAGACGGGCCCCCAGTACAACAGTTCCAGTGCACATTTTCATATTAAAACATTTTTCAAACAATAGATTTCACAGAATAATGAATAAAATCAAACCCCATATCAACATACGGGCCTAAGACAAAACTTAAGTTTAAGAGGAAATTAGTGATGACAAATTCAGTATTAAATGTTTCCACAGAATAACCCCAGAGACAAAACAGGCTACACTTGTATCACTGAGCAGACAGCCAAGCCACTGAGGAAGCCACCACCTCCTTAAAGGAACTAATTTCCTGTCCTACTCTGAGCCTAAAATGTACTTACTTCGACTTTGCACAGTTACAATCTCTATTCTTAACCACATCCCTGTGGAGTTGAAACAACACCTGCACTGGTCCTTGCTCAGAACTAATGGCCTGAAGCAAGTACGTTTGTGGCAATACCTGCAAAAGCCAGCCAGGTAAGAACACCATGATGTTTTTACTGCCAGCTGTTTTCCCAAGGACTGTAAGTCGTCAGAGACACCATAACTGGTACAAAAATAAGTGAGCAGTTTGCACAACTATGAAATGAAACAATACTAAACAAACATAATGGCCTTTCTTTTTTACCATGGCCTGAAGTGGCCATGTTCCCTCATGAGCAGGAAACCCTTGCAACAAATTTCAAGGTGAGTTCTTAGCAATGTAGAGCCAAGTACAGTTACCTACTTTTAAAATAATCTCATTTGCAGGGATCACATCTACAAGACTGTCCAAACCCAAGGAAAAGGTGCTCAAGCAAGCAGGGTAAAGTGAGCTTCAATTAGTGACTTACGCTGGGATTGTTTTGGTTGCGCAGCAGCTTTGCCCGGTGGTCTTCCTCTTCTTTTCTTACCGGGAGGTGGTGCAGGAGCCTCTTGCTCAACTTCTGGCTCAGCCTCAATTTCTACTGCTGTCTCCTCCTCATCTTCGTTATCATCCAAATCTGGTTCAGCATTTTCCTCTGTAAGAAAGGATGTCAGATAAATCTTCAGTTTAAACAAGAATAAAACACATCTATCTACAGAGAAGCACCATCAGATCCCATCCAAAAGGGATGGATTTGAAGGAGTCTGCTCTGCTGAGAAAGAAGGCAAGTGAGGCCTTTGGTCAGAAGGCGTTGCCACAGACTGTTAATCTGTTACCCTCACTTAGAGGGAACAAGCTGTCCTTCAGAAAGCAAAAGGTAATTAAATTATGTTCGACTATGTGGTAAAAGCTACTCTGCACATGCACAAAGGAGCTCAGAGACAACAGCACAAGGGAGACCAAATAACATGGCTGGGCTACTCCCAAGCCCATCAGAGGGTCCAACAGCCCATCCAAGTCCCACCTGCACAACACAGAGAAGCACAGCATTGCACAATGGAAGACGGGAGCCCAAATTCACGGCTTTTGAGGAACAAACTTCTTGTCCAGGACACCCTCAGGAGAGCCACTAGGTGTGAAGCCCATCCCAATGAGTCACAGGAAGCAGCTCTTGAGATCACCTTTGGTACTACGGGATGTTGGGGAATTTCTGGCTGGGACATAATGAGATGCAGGAGGAAGGCCATTTTGGATCACAAAGGACTATCTGCAGGATATTTAGGGGAGGGGATGAGGTGATTTCAAGAAGTGTGGGGAAAATAGAGGGGCAAGAGGATAAAGAGGTAGATCCCATGTAAATTGCTGTAGCAGCCATTCCAGGATCTCTGTGAAACAGGAGAACCCCAACAGGCATCCAAGAGCCAGTCTCCTACCCCTCAAGCCCTACACTTTATTTTTCACAACACTCCTTAAGCCTAATAGATGTGGACCATCAACACGTTCAGAATGTGAAAACACAAAAAAGCAGTGAGGGATGTCAAAGAGAATAATATTGTATGGACAGCAAAATAACCATCCTTAAATTTGTAAGGCTGTTCACTACAGGAGTGGCTTCACTCAAGAATACATGGACCACAAGGATACTTCCTTTTATATGACTTAAGGGAAAAACTCCAACCCAGACTGGGGCATGTACAAGCTGCATGATTTTACAATCACTCAAGGGTTCCCCACCATGAGGAATTTATTTACTGGATTTCTCAGGTCCCACCTTTTTACAGGTTCTTGACATTCTCCCCTCAACTCAAAGTCCATCAATTAACATTCTGTCTAATATTGGGCAGCCAGGAGACAAAATTGTCACTGTTTA